AAAACTATAAGTAGAAGTTAGAGTCCATATAAAAATGTAATTTAGAAATAACTAAAATTCAAAATGAAAAAAAAACAAGATTGGGAGAAAAGTTTAGAGTCCATATATAAATATGATTTATAAATAACTAAAAGTAGAGTCCATATAGAAATACAATTTAAAAACAGCTAAATTCAGAATTAAAAATAAGGAATATTGAAAGAGGAGACTAGAGTCCACTCAAGTATACAATTTAGAATTAATTAAAATTCGGAATTAAAAAATAGGAAAACTAAAAGTAGAAGTTAGAGTCCATATAGAAATATAATTTAGAAATAACTAAAATTGAAAATGAAAAAAAACCAAGATTGGGAGAGAAGTCTAGAGTCCATATATAAATACAATTTATCAATAACTAAAATTCGGAATTTAAAATAAGAAATATTAGAAAAAAAAGTCTAGAGTCCATATAGTAATACAATTTATAAATAACTTAAATTCGAAATTAAAAAAAAACAAAATATTGAAAAATGAATTCAGAGTCCATATAGAAATACAATTAGAAATAACAGATTGGGAATTAGAAAAGTAGAAATATTGGGAAAAAAAGTCTACGGTCCAGACAGGAATTTAGAACTAGCTGAATGTCGAATCTAAAAAAAAGAAAACTAAAAGTAGAGTTTAGACTCCATATAGAAGTTGAATTTATAATTACAAAAATTAAAAATTGAAAAAATAAGAAAGATTTGGGAGAAGAGTCTAGCGTCCATATAGTGGAGCCATCGTTTCGCTTATTCGCGGAATAAGCGAAACGACACATTTACAAATGAAAAGTAATTTGTGAATAAAACTTTTATATACCTGTTCTTAGCGATCTAAAAGTAAAGGCTGAAAATAAACTTCAATGAAAAAAACCTCAAAATAGGTTAAAATTCAAATTTTGGCTAATAAGCATAAGCGAAAAGATGAGACCCTAGAAATACAATTTATAAATAACTGAAATTCGAAATTAACAAATAAGGAATATTGGGAAAAAAGAGTCCATATAGGAATACAATTTATAAATTACTGAAATTAAAAAAAAAGAAATATTGGAAAAAATGTCTACAGTCAATATAGGAATACAATTTACCAATAATTGAAATTCAAAATTTTTTTAAAAAAAATATTGAAAGAAGAGTTTAGAGTCCATATATAAATACTATTTATAAATAACTAAAATTCAAAGCTAAGAAAAATGAATATTGGAAGAGTAGTCTAGAATCCATATAGGAATAGAACTTATGAATAAAGGAAATTCGAAATTTAGAAAATAAGGAATATTGAAATATGAGTCTTGAGTCCATATACAAATACAATTTATAAATAATTATCACGTATATACAATACATTAAAAATATCACACGTTTGTTAGTTCAACCAAGAATTTAAAATTATGTTACCATTTTAATATATTTTAATAATAAAATGTGAAAATATTTAAGCTATTATATGAGAAAAAATATAAAGATGCTAGCCGCGCAATCTGCGCGGGCCACCATGCTAGTTATTATTATTAAGACAGCTTTGAAAGGAGTCACCACGTTCGCTGTGGGAGCTAGAAATTCCCACGTTAATCGGAGAAAAAGAAAATAAGAGTCTAACTAGAGATACAATTTAAAAATAACTAAAATTCGGAATTAAAAATAAGCACTATTGAAAGAAGAGTCCATATAAGAACCCAATACGAGATTAATTAATATTTGAAATAAAAAAATAAAATAAAATCTGAAATTAGCAAAAAGGAAAAAAAGAAAATAAGAGTTCGAGTATAAATACAATTTATTTTGCTAGTTTTTGATTGGCCCACTTGGCACCTCATTCTTTAAAGAAAAATCATAAATTTATACTAGAGAAAAAACACCTAACAATCATATGTGAGGAAAAATCTAGAGAAAAATATCACATATAGATTCTAGAGGCTTCCAAAACTATCTTCCCTTTCCAGCCACATGAACTTCTACTCCTTTGCTTTCTATAAATATACCACGCCTACACGACACTACTCCTATAACTCTAAAATATATAGAAACCCAAAATTATTAAGCAAAAAATAAATCTATAACAACAAATTTACATTCATTTCCCTTCTTTAAATATCCTACGCCTACTCGATACTACTCATATAACTATAGAATATATAGTAAACCCAAAATTATTAAGCAAAAATTTGGAATAAATCTTGAGAAAAAAAAGCTTACTCCGTTCTTTTTTTTAGAATAAATCTATTTTGTTTCTTATGTAAGCTCCTGGTTGTATCACAACATCCCTTAACCTTAACCTTAGAACCGATATAAGTCTCCTCAATATTTAAAACCGATGTAAACCGAGTTTAAAAAGCTCTGCAGACCTCAATCTTCTATCTATTATATCAGCTTTGAAAGGAGGTACCACGTTCACTGTAGGAGCTAGAAATTACCACATTAATTGGAGAAAAATAAAATGAGAGTCCAACTAGAGATACAATTTAAAAATAACTGAAATTCGAAATTAAAAATAAGCAATATTGAAAGAAGAGTCCCTATAAGAACCCAATACGAGATTAACTAATAATCAAAATAAAAAATAAAATAAAATCCAAAATTAGAAAATAAAATAAAATAAAAATTCGAGTATAAATACAATTTAGAAAAAGTAGTACTGCTCATGTGCCACGCTACTTTACTAACCGTGAATTTTTCTCAACTTTTATTTTTTCACTGGATGACCATCGAAACTTCTAGTTAACCACGACCCTCTTTTGTCTGAAAAAACAGAAGAAACATATTAGTATCAAGATCTATCCAATAAAGGTCCACGCAAAAAAATAAAAGGAAAGAATGATATGCCAAGTGGGGGTTGTCGCAAATGCTTGACTCTCACTGCCTGAGCACCTTTATAGCCGTCGCCGGCGTCGCTACTCACAGGAGGACTAGTGGGACCGCTGCCAGCGCCTCCTCCCGCCGGACCGCCGTCTCCGCTGCCCGTGCCTCCTCCCGCAATCAGCAGCCACCGCCACCGCTCACATGAGGACAAGTGGGACCGCCGGACCGCTGCCCGTGCCTCCTCTGCTGCCGATGTAACCAGCGTATCCTCCAAAATTCATCCAGGGTAAGGGTCGGCGACAACGAAAGTCTTGTCGGTGGTGTCGTTGACGTGTTCTCCAAAATTCATCCAGCGGGTCAGAATATCTCATAAGTGAGTGATTTTTGCAAGGTGTGGATGACGGGGTGGGGGTTAGCGACGACGGAAGTCTTGTCGGTGGTGTCGTTGACGTGTTTTCCGAAATTCATCCAGTGGGTCAGAATGTCTCATAAGTAAGTGGTTTTTCCAATTACATCTTTGCCCTTTACATTGCGTATCTTTTTCTTTTAGAGCTTGGTTAGTTTTTGAAATGATATGTCAAACAATAGACAAAATCCAAGAAAATATTAGATACTAACTGATTGAAACATAGAATTGAAACAACGTTTGCATCCAGCGGGCCCTTTACATTGTGTATCTTTTGCTTTAAGAGCTCGATTAGTTTTTCAAATGATCTGTCAAAAAATATACAAAATCCAAGAAAATATTAGATGAACTGATTGAAACATAGAACAAAAATGGAATTGAAACAGTGTTTGCATCCAGCGGGTCATAATGTCTCATGTGTTAGTGATTTTTCCAATCATATCTTCGTCTTTTATATTGCGTATCTTTTTTTTTAAGAGCTCGGTTAGTTTTTTAAATGATTTGTCAAACAACTGACAAAATCCAAAAAAATATTAGATGAAACATGATTGGAATTGAAACATATTTTGTAGCAAGCACACAAACACGACGCACACCAACTAAATCGGAACAGCGTCTGCAACGGTTGCAACAAGCACACAAACACTACCCGCACACGCACACCAACTAAATCCAACTAGAGTGAAAAGCGTTTGCAACAAGCACACGAACACGATGCACACCAACTAAATCGGAACAGCGTCTGCAATGGTTGCAACAAGCACACAAACACTTCCCGCACACGCAAGGGAGATGGATTCTAATAGCTCGATTGAACATCCATCCGTTTATTGCATGTCAAGTAGATGGTTACGAAAAATTTTCAAAAAAATTGACAAGATAGATTAATATGTAATATATCACTCCACAAACAAACAAGTTCAAATTCAACTTCTACAAGTTGTAACAAAAATAACAAATTTAATTGTAAAAATACATATAGTAATTTGAGTTTTGTTTGTTATTTTTGTTACAAGTTGTAGAAGTTGAATTTTAACTTCCATGTTTGTGGTTGTAATATATCTATCTTAGTTCATATTTTTTCAATTTTTTTATAACTATTTAGATGACATGCAATAAATGGGTGGACGTCCACTCGAGCAAGAGAAGCGATGAGCAGCAGAACGTTGAGGAGAAACACACGCACACATCATCATGAGACTACGATGAGCAGCACAAACACACGCACCGACGCACGTATGAACGCAAACAACGCACGCACGAACGCACACAACGCGCGAACACAAGCACGCTACGATAAGTTGAGAAGAAACACACGCACGCTACGATAAGGAGAAACACACGCACACATCATCATGAGACTACGATGAGCAACACAAACACACGCACCGACGCACGTATGAACGCAAACAACGCACGCACGAACGCACACAACACGCGCGAACGCAAGCAAGAAGAAGATGAACACAACGCAGATGAATGAACACAATGCAGATGAACAACACAACGCACAAAAAGAACACAACACATATAAACGCACACTAGCAGATGAGTAAGGGAAGCGAGAAGCAGAGCGAGCGCACACGACTTACCCTCTCGATTTTGCGAGAACATTCTCCACAACCGACGCCGTGGCCCGTGCCGACACGACCACTGTGGCCCGCGCCGCCGCCATTGGAGGAGAGGGAAGGAAAGGGAGGGGGGGTTTATAGTTGGAGGAGGAAATATTTAAGATGCGTAGCGAATAATGTAGAAAAAAAATGGTACGAGAATCACTCACCAATAAAATCCTACTAATATTTATTTTTAAAATACCATACCCTCACACTCATTTTACTTTTAACCGAACAATATAATAGTCCATCAGATGCAATGTTTAACCCCTAACTCCGGCTCTGGCTACACATTGAGATAAAATGTTTTGACCTCTAACTTTGGCTATGGCTTGGCTTGGTGGTTAGTCCGAACCCAAATGGGAACAGCGGGTTGTAATGCTTGTCGCCGAAATTCATCGGCAGCTGGTCCACCGATTTGAACCAAGTACGTGGCAGCTTGCCGGTGAAGCCGTGATCCCCGAACAGCACGTCGGCGACGCCGTGGCCCTCCGTGCCGGGGAGCCAGGCGGCGACGAACGCGTCCATGGCGCCGATGTACGGCTCCACCACGAGCGGACGCCCGGAGACGAGCACCACCACGCACTTGACGAGCCCGCACACGTCCTTGATCACCTTCGGCCCCGGCGACGGGATGGTCAGGTTCAGGTTGTCCCCCTCCGTCTCCGCGTACGGCTCCTCCCCCACCACCACCACCGCGTAGTCGTACTCCTTGGCGCTCTCGGCGATCGAGCTCTTGTCCGGGTGCTCCGTGTAGTCGATCACCGTGCTCTCGTCCACCGCCGCCTTGATCGCCTCCAGGATCGTCGTCCCTGCATCACGATTCACATTAGTGGCAAACGCGACGGCGAGTGTCGATCGAGATCGGAATCGTGCTTGATTTACCGGCGGTGACGTTGTTGCCGCCCTGGCCTTGCCAGGACACGGTCCAGCCGCCGCACTGGAAGCCGAGGTTGTGGGCGTGGCTGCCGGCGACGAGGATCTTGTCGGCCTTCTTGGACAGCGGCAGCACGGGCTTCTCCCCGTGCTTGCCGTTCTTGAGCAGGACGAGCGACCTGCGCACGGCCTCGCGCGCGATCTGCCGGTGCTCCTTGTCGCCGAGCTCGCCGGCGAGGCGCGGGTCCGGGAGCGGGTTCTCGAAGAGGCCCATGGCGAACTTGACGCGGAGGATGCGGCTCACGGCGTCGTTGATCCTGTCCAGCTTGATCGACCCGTTCGACACCTGCGTCGTCAGGTCGGCGACGAACTCCGGGTAGTCGTACGGGATCATCACCATGTCAATGCCCGCGTGGATCGTCTCCTGGATCGAGTGGTAGTAGTGCTTGTGCGGCGGCGTCGTGATCCTGTCCACCGCTTGCCAGTCCGTGATCACAAATCCCTGCACATTTTTTAAAAGTTCAGTTGAATTTTGAGGAGAATTTGAGAGGTTTTAGCATTGGTTACCCTGAATTTCAACTTGTTCTTGAGGATGTCGGTGATGAGGAAGCGGTTCTCATGCATCTTGACGCCGTTCCAGCTGGAGTAGGAGATCATGACGGAGGCGACGCCCTTGATGACGGCGTCGTCGTAGGGCGGCATGTGGATGCGCATCAGGTCGTGGAAGCTGAGCACCGTGTTGTTCTCGTTGATGCCGTCCCGCGTCCCGCCGTCGCCGACGAAGTGCTTGGCGCAGCCGGCCACGTTCATCCCCCCCGCCACGAACGGCGTCCCCTTGGGGTACCTCGCCGGCGCGTCGCCCTGCAGCCCGGGCACCATTGCCGACGTCATCAGCTGCACCAGCTTCGTGTCCTCGCTGTAGCTCTCGTAGCACCGTCCCCATCTCGGGTCGCGGCAAACCTGCACACACACATGCGATCGATCGGTCGAACACCTTGAACATTACGTAAATTTTCACTGGCAACGATGTGTTCGTCCGGTTTGGGCGGCTTACGGCGACGCATGGGGCGAAGGTGTAGGGGATGCCGGTGGCGCGGGCCTCGTGGGCGGTGGACTGGCCGATCCGCTTGACGAGCTTGGGGTCGCGGGTGGCGCCGAGGCCGACGTTGTGGGGGAAGATGGTGGCGTTGTGGACGTTGTTGTGGCCGTGCACGGCGTCGATGCCGTAGATGATCGGGATGCCGAGGCGCGTCTTGAGCGCCGCCTTCTGCATCTTGGCCACCATCTGCTGCCACTCCTTCGCCGTCGCCTTCTCCGACGGCACGCTCCCGCCGCCGCTCAGCACGCTCCCTTGCAAACACAAAACAAAACACAATGTCAGTGTACAACGATCGAACGCGCGCGACGGCGGCGGCGGCCGGCGGCGAGAGGGGCTTACCGACGAAGTACTTCTCGATAACGGCGGAGGTCGCGTTGGCGCGCTCGATCTGCGACATCTGGCCGATCTTCTCCGCGAGCGTCATCCGGCTGAGGAGGTCGTCGACGCGCTCGCCGATCGGCTTCTTTGGGTCCTTGTACTTCACGTACTCCTCCCCCGCCGTCGCCGCCGCCACCGCCGACAGGAGAACGGCGGCGACGAGGAGACACACCGGCGCCGCCGGCGAACGCCACATCGTCGTCGGTGCAGCACGCATTGCCAAGAAACGCAACGTACGTGTTGATAAGCAAGGAGGGAGGTGATGCTAATTACTTTTTCACCGTGAGTTCGAAGTAAATTTATAGCGCATTGCAGGGGCGGATAAATCTCGCATTCCTTGGGGTTAGGCTGTTATTACGGTTGCATCTACGGTTTGTTAGGGTGGTTAGATCGATCTTATCTCTGTTCGATCGTCGTTGGCGTAAGAGGGAGATAAATTAAACCCGCACGCCCGCGGTGATTTTTTCTGTTTTTGAGTTTGACCGTGGACGTCAGGAACGCGATCGAACGGCTGGTGATTGTTCGGTGGGTGAATGAACGGCTGTTGATTGAGAAATCAGGGCGACGTGTAATGTGATCCACTGAACTGCTTGCCATCCTAAGAAAGAACCGGATCGGAACGCATTAACTCTTTGTAATGTTACTTCATATGTTTATCATTATTACATCTCTCAAAAATCACCCTTTTTCTTTTCTCTAATACTATACCGGAACGCTTTATCTATAATGATGTGTTTGAATAATGGATTAGGAGAGCTGGGATTGAGAAATAGAAATGAGTGGAGGAATATGATGAAATGAGTGAGTAGAATAAATGGCTAGCTTATTCGTTTTAGAGGATTTGTAAAGGGAAATTACAGGAATATTCAATCCTTTGGAATGAGCACTATACTATCATTCGTTTTAAAGGAATGCATGAAAGGAAAAATTCCTATCCCTCCACTTTTAGGGGGAAAACAAAGGAAAAAAATAATCCACTCTAACCCAATGTTTTTAATCCTTTTGGACTGTTTGCAACCCAACCATATAAAAATTTCCTATGTTTTCTAATCCATAGGTTTGCACATGCATTCCTATATTACACGTTTTCTGTATTCCTACGGTTTGAAAATCCTACAAACCGAATAAGCCCAAGATTGAAACTTACCTTTTGAGGGGTTGAAAATCATATCCCAAACCCATTATCCAAATATGGCCTAAGTGTTTTTTTAACTCTTTGAAATGTTATCCCAAAAAACTTTTAAATGATGTTATACTGGCTGTTTATCATTATATCTCAAAACTCATATCATTTTTCTTTTCAAATGTACGCAGCATGTAAGCGCGCACGCTAAAAATGCACGCATGCACCTGCTTTTATCCCATCTAAAAAAGACGTGATACTTTCGTTAATTCCTAAGAGGAAGGATTTAAAGGAGACTGAGGAAAAATAATTTTACACCATAAATATGGGGGAAATAATTCCACAACAGCCCTTCAAATCCTCCTTATTTCTCTTGCGGGTGGGATTAATCGAACAAGTTTTAGTATGTTACCAATCCACTATTAGAGATTTTTTTAAACGTATGTAGTTGATAAAACATATAATTGCAATATATATATATATATATATATATATATATATATAGTATGATTGTTTGGGTAGACCGCTGGAAAAACATAAAATTTTAAGAAGAGAAAGACCAAGGAAACTTTTCATTAGGTTTAATCCATGTTAAATTTGCTCTAACCTGTATGGATTAAGATATTCCAAGAAAAAAAATTTCTCTTTTGGAACAAATGATATTTTGAGGAATTTTGAAGGATTGTGATCATAGGGATTGAGCCACCAAAAATCCTTTGAAACTCCTTTTGGGTTATCTCATTTCATTGTAATTTCGAGGATTTTTAACATGAAGTCTAATCTCATGGAGATCACACTTGTGTGTTAGCTCTCTCCAAATTCCTTTGATATTTCCCTTTGAAGCAACCAGACAACATGTTCTCGAGGATTCATTGGACCATGACATTCCAATCGCTCGTTTTTCATATTTTCGTGTTCTAGAATTCTGCGATCCAAAGAGCCTTTATAGGATTCAATAATGTCAAATCCTTTGTTCCAAACGGCATTTAGGAGAAAAAAAACTATAGCATTGAAATCCTAGTAAATATTCATATGATTTTCCATCAAATCAAAGGAGGCCATATGGGTCAAATCTACGGAACTTTATGAAAATTTCCAGGTTCATTCTTATGAAACTCATGTTGTAAACCTATTGTGTAGTACAGTAGTATGTGCCAAATCTGTGGAGTTTTATGAAAAAAAAATGGGCTCCTCTGGAACACAAAAAATTTATAAAATGGTCATAGAATTTAGGATGTATTCCTATTTCAAACTAAAATATTTTGAAGGCATGTATTCCTAGCTTTAGAAATCCATATATACGGATTATTCATATTGTTCTTATTTAGAAAAATAATATATATAATAATATTTTAAACCAATGCTATGCAACTTGCAAATTCTAGATTAGCATGATATAAGATGTGGAGTTATGCCAAATTCTACATAAATCCTTCAAATTCTTTCATTCCAAAGAGGCTTAGCACGTTGTTTTCCTACATATTATAAATTATTGTGGGCACGCTTTCCAAGCTCCGTAACTTTTTGGAAAGAAAATTCTATTCATAAGTTGCGTAGGATATTTGTTTATACCCTTAAATATTGTCATAAAATAAATAATATATCCACCATTTATCCATTCAGCCCGTTTAATTACTTGAGCAGTCGAAAACTTTCTCCAGCTAATCGGAGCACTAACTAATCAATCTCCAGCAATTAATCTTGCACAAGTCCAAGCAAAGCTAGTACAAAATTAAAGAACATGTTAAGCGTGCTTATCTTAGTTCATAGGAGTAATTAGGAGTACTGCACTCCCACACGATGATCCATGTTTACTTGCGCGCATTATAATTCATTGGCAGTTAGCAAATAGGGAATTCTACGTAACTGTAGAATTAAATTTGAAAATATACCTTTTTTTCACTATTTTATGTTTATATACATGCATGAAAAATATTTTCACAAATATACCTTCTCCGCATATTAGGAATGCGGGACTGAGACGGTGCCGCTCTGTGCCGCTCTTCCATTCTACGGGACCGGCGGTCCCTCGCTAGAGGGCGGTCCCGCATCACGGCGCTGCGTGACCGGCACGGTCCAGCGTGACCGGCTCGGTCCCGCGCATCAGTGCCGCGCAACCGCCCTGCCTCCGCGCATCGGCGCCGCGCAACCGCCCTCGACACGCTAGACAGTGCAGCTAGGTTGTGTCTTGATTAATTCTAGACATAATTGAGACCAAAATTAACAATATGACTAACCAGCTAGCTTGTACTTTCTCTTAGAGGAATTAGGTTGGAAATGATCGATGGATGGAGCTGAGGAGATCAGGATGGAATAATTAGTAAGCTAAGCTAGTGCCTGGAGTATGTATTGTGGGGTTTGACTGGATCAACTGCGTGTGTGCGTGCTTGACAGGTGATGCTTGCATGGAGCGCATGCACGGGACGGTTCGGGAAGCACGGTCCCGCGCCATGGCGCCGCGCGACCGGCTCGGTCCTGCGCATCAGAGCCCCGCATGCGCCCGCCCTCCACCACACTGCCGCTCTCCTGTGTTGCGGGAGCGAGCGGTGCCGCACAGCCATCCTGCGTGACCGTCGGTCCCGCGGAATGGAAGCGCGGCACCGTTTTGGTGCCGCGTCCAGTCGTGCGGAGAGATATATTTGTGCAAATATTTTCTATGCAGATATATAAACGCAAAATATTGAAAAAATATATGTTTTCAAATTTAATTCCCGTAACTGTATGCCCTTACTATAGCATTTCCCTTAGCAAATACTCCCTCCGTTTTAGGTTATAGCACGTTTTGACTTTAGACAAAATTAAACTACTTTAAATTTAACTAAGTTTAATATATTATCTAAACATGACCAAAGTCAAAACACCTTATATCCATATCATCTCGTCGGCTTTGGACGCCACGGGATTGGCCGTCATGGGGAAGCCGCCGTGGTTGCTGCCGCCGCCGTGCACGGAGTACTGCTCGTACGTCTCGCCGTCGCCCCACACCGCGTACGCGTCCTCGCCGTGTATGGCGTCGCCGCCGCCGGCGAGCTGCGGCACGGCCACCCTGACGGCCAGGCACACGGCGCTCGTCACGGCGACGTTGAGCGCCACCACGAACGCGATCCCGGCCAGCTGCACGCCGACCTGCCGGAGCCCCGAGCCGGCGCGGCCGTCCCTGACAGCGTACGCGAGGCCGACGTAGCGCGGGTCGTCGCCGAAGAAGAGCCTGGCGAAGCGCGGCTCGGCGAGGAGCAGGAGCCCCGTCAGGACGCCGCTGAGGCTGCCGGCGACGCCGTGGGTGTGGAGCACGGCGAGCGTGTCGTCGACGCGCGCCAGGAGGCGGCTCCGCTTGTGCAGCACCTTCATGGTGAACCACGGCCGGAGAGCCGCCCATCACCATCGCCCGGCACCAGCCTGGCCGCCGGGGTGACGCAGACGAGGCCGGTGATCATGCCCTGCACGGCGCTGATGACGGAGAGGCGGCCGAAGACGAAGCTGTCGAGGAGGAGCCACACCAGGAGGCTCGTCGCCGTGCAGAGGTGCGTGTTCACGACGGTGACCGACGCGTCGACGTTGGCGGCGTACGGCGCGCCGCCGTTGAACCCCGTCCACCCCATCCACAGCAGCAGCCCCGCTCCGGCGAGCGTGAGCAGGACGTTGTTCGGCGGGAACGCCTCCCTGTCCTTCTCCGTCCTCGGACCGACCTGTCCATGATGCATGGCTCCATCACCATCACACTCAAGCCAAGCATGGCGGCGATCGAACAGTTAGTCGTGGTACGCGCCGGCGAAGCCCCGGCGAGAGAGGAAGCCCGCCTGGTCGAGGCCGGAGAGGTCAGGGCGGCCGACGAACGGGTGCGAGCTCGTCGCCGAACGACATGCGGAAGGCCCAGGCGCACCAGCAGACGATCGAGCACCGCGGCGAAGGCGTACGAGGCTGTTTGGTTTGTTCACAAAGTTTGCCAAAGGTTGCCACCTCTCATGTTAGACAAGTTTAACCAAATTAGTCTATTGTTTGGTTCATAGCCACACTTGTGGCAAGATTCCTTCTTATCTATTAGGTCTCACATGTCATCAACTCAATAAAGTGTGGTACAATCCAATTTTGCTAGCTAAGGTGTGGCTCATTTTTTTAAGCCACAACTTAAGACAAGTGTGGCACAAAAATATGGTGAATGGTGGCAAACTTAGTATAGCATCTAAACAGCCTAGAGCGCCATGAACGCCGAGTTGACGGCCCACTTCTTCACCGCGCCGCAGTCGCCGTACAGGATCACCAGCCTCGGCACGCTCTGCAGCCCCACCAGCGTCGCCGCCGCTAGCGGCCACGCGTTGTCCCCCTTCTCCACCCACTCCGGCGCCGCCTCCGCCGCCATTCGCGGCCACGACCGAGGTGAGGCGAGGGAAATGGATTTGGAAATGGCGCGAAGTAGAGGCGGAGAGCGAGTTATATATATATATATATATAGAGAGAGAGAGAGAGAGAGAGAGAGAGAGAGAGAGAGAGAGAGAGAGAGAGAGAGAGAGAAGGTCTGAGGTGGGGGAATCCCGGAAGCCGGGCAGATTCCTGAGAGGCTGAGAATAGATGCTTTGGACCACCTCCAGTCCAGATTCTGTTCTACGGATTGCGAAATTGCGGCAGGATATACGCATATGCGTCATGTTTGATTTCTGAATCGAAGTAAATTTACATAATTTTTGCAGGATTTAGTTCAGTTCCTAAAAGAATCATATGAATTTCCTCCTTTCTTTTCTTTTTGCATTGATAGATCGGATGCCCAAATAAGTCAAAGAAAAAACTAAAATTTAATTTTTCAAACTTAATATTGAGATTAATTTTAAGATATTACAATGTAGTTCCTTTTTCAGCATTGATTTTGTAAGTGACAAGAACACGTAAAAAAATTCCCTAATAAGACGGGAATAGGAGCATACGATGGGACTTTCAAACAGGCAAAGTGGCAAACGGCTCATTTTTCAAGTCCCAGTGCAAGATTTAAGTAAGCAACATTTAGATGCGTGCCAAATGTAGTCATAAATATTTAAGGGCCCCTGAAATGAAAAAACATAGGATTTTTGATAGGAATGTAAGTTAGGAATGTAAGTGTAAAACAGAGGAATTACCGTTTGATTGGAAATTGGACCGTAGGATTTTGATAGGAATGTAAGTGTAAAACAGAGGATTGCAAAACACAGGAAAAACAAAGGAATGACCGTTTGATTGGACCGCAGACAAAACACAGGAATTAGAGGAGAGATAAAGACTCAAAGGAAAGTTTCTACCTCATGTTAGAATTCCTCCAAAATTTGCATGGCATTAGGCATTCCATAGGAATTTTATAGGATTCCATAAAATTCATTCCTTTAATTTAAAGGGCTATATAGAAAAAATTCCTATAGAAATAAAATCCTCTAAAATTCCTATGAATTTCCTTTAAATCAAGGGGCGCCTAAGTATCCACTACAGAAGTAACCAGTCGCTGTTGTGAGTAAAGAATTCAAGCAATGCCAACACATACCAACGAACAACACTCACTACCAATGGATGAGCATTCCAATTACCGACAGTTAAATTGCTAAGAACAAACATGGCACAAGCATAGACATTCAATAACCAATAATCCATACCGAGTCAACAACATATGGCCCAGAATATCACTATCACCTATAATCAATTTAACATCGACACTACAAAGAAAAGAATGGCGACTCTAAAGTTCCAAAAACATGAGATCCTCTATGTACCAAATCTGACATGGCTCACTGGAAAAACCTCCCCGAAGAAAAAATGGGAACAGTGAAATACACAGTTACAAGCCACACTGTCGATACACTCTGAGTGAAGGTGATTGCACGATGCTTTATGATCGACTTTTCTCCCAGGAAGAAGAGCTTCCAAAACCAGGACCACAGCAGCTCAAGCAACAACAGCAGGACCCTGTTGCAGCATAATGGAGAAATAATGGAATTTTAAGTATGAGAACTCAGAAGCAAAGTACACACACATAACATTGTAGCCCAGCAAGCTACATAAATAGCCCTTCCAATTTGAATTACTATTTCCTCTGGTGAGAAAAGGCTATGCATATCAATTGGCTTGGAGCGAACTTTGCAAGAAGCTATTTTGTTCCTGGTGGGATTATGTGCCTTTGTTCTGCCTTCAGCGATGCTACTTAGGTTTGGCCAAAAAGTTAACAAAATCATCACCTAGCAGCACACTATATGTCAACAGTAAGTTCTTAGTTAAGATTCCATGCTAACAGTCAACCTGTTCCAGCATTACCCACCCTTGTTTGCCCCTATTTATTCTTCTTTGTTCTCTCCTTCTCTGGGTTGAGATATTATAACAGATGATTCTTCTATTAAGATCGTGAACTTGTGATACATATCAAGTCTGAGTAAAATATATCCAGGAAAATATGATGTTAAGTTAATCGTTCAGGATAATATAATAACACAGCCCCTAACAGAAAGAAATGGTGTCATGTGAGAGTTTATTAATGTGATTGTGTAGATGCAAAGAGATCCTTTGCACACACTGAAGCAGCACGGTAACAGTCAAACCTAAATTATCAGGCATGCCTGATGCCTATAAATGACAATGCAACCGAAGGTCTGTTTCATGGTAATTTATTAATTTTGACTAAATGAAAGAGGAAAATGGAACTGTAGCTCGAGAGTTGCTAAAAGTATTTATCAGCTGTAGCCTACATAGAGAGTCTTGATTCATTTACTCAGTAGCAACCGATAGTTAAGTTTATTATTGACTTACTTTCGCTGTTAGATTGGACACAGCTATTTGGAACTTCTCTCTTGTTCTTGAGCCAGCAACATGACCAGCCTTAGCAACCTTGCTGAAGGCACCATTTAGCCAGCTTGTTCCAGCAGACACATACCTACAAGTAGGGGAAGATGGAAAAAAATCAGTAAAGTGTTTGGAGATTCATGTATATAAAAGATCTTATATATTCCTCCTAAAAGAATTTAGGCATTATAAAGGTAATAGATTTCATCAAAATTAAAAGCTACTCAACCATTACAAAAAAAAAATGTTCATTGGTTATTGGTACAACGTCAAACAAATTTGTTGGCTGAACATAAGCAAAAGCATGGATAAGAAGAGACCTGTTGGTTTTCACAGCAGAGCCAGTGTCATTTAGCTTGCGCTCTGCAGCCAGCAAAGCAGCCATTGTTTTGTCAGAAACATGTAGCCTTTGGTCTACAGATTTCACTTTCTCATTTACAACTGTTATCCCGCTGTTTATCTTCTCTGAAATTCCAACACGCTTATCAAAGGAATTGATCTTGGCCGATGCATTTGCCCTCAATTGATGTTTCTCATCGAATGCTTTAGCTTTGTTCACAGCATCTTGTCGCATTGCTGAACCCCTTGCAATCACAGTTGTCATGACATCATGAGCCTTGCTGACATAAACACGGCCAGTAGTGGGGCTGGCATTGGCCTATGTGGTACAATGAGATACTTTTGATCAGCACCGATCATAATACACTAAATAAATGTATAAGAAAATAAGCGTAGGTTCCCAATTGTCATGCCAGGGGAAGATGTCACACATGCTGTTGCACTTGATTGATTCATCCCTACCACCCACCTACTACAAGTTATGGGATGCTCCTTTCGTTAAACTTTATCAGTGCGCACTTCCCCTGGTTCATGGGAACTTCATAGTATGCTACAGGTCTATACCGGGGAAAATAAAATAGAGTACACTGGAAATGAAGGACACCTCGGTAGGTTGGTCCAAATCTGCATTAGGAGCCGTACTTGTCACCTCACCGACCACCTCACTGACCACAAGTTGCTGCATGATTTTCAAAACAGATGTCTCTATGAAAAAGACGAATCAAAGGATTTAGTACTGACATTTGGGTAACATAAATTAGTTGGATGGTGCACCTGGTCAGTAACAGGGATGTAGATGTAGTCTTCAGCAGGGGTTATGTTGACAACCCGATCCACAATTGTTGCTCCCTGAAAAAGGGAACTTAGAAGATAATAAGCCATAATCCATACTGAAAGGGGAAGCTTATCAAACATCTATTTCTTTTCAGTGCTGCAAGACCTAGGTAGCGTAATGAGATTTAAACTGAATATACCCTAATTAGAAGATTCACTGGATTGTTATCTGTGCACTGTGTTTCATTATGACAATCTCAGTTGAAATTGATGCACATTTATCAGATTTGCACACATGCTGCACATAAAGAAATATAACTGGGAGCAGATTTCTTAAATGGCAAAACAGAATAACAAAGTCAAATGATCACAGTAGTAACACCATATAATATGCTGCTCACTTCCATGCCAATCAAAGCAGGCATTAATATAAATCTATTTTGTTTTTGTTTATTATAGTCCATGGTCAATGGCTTCTAAGATTTTACCGACAACGGAAGAAAGCACCGCCTTTCAATCATTTGCTTGCCAGTGCATGAAACCATAAAGCACACGGTTATGTGTAATCATAGGAAGAATATAAAGCATTCAAGATTCAATGTTTTTTTGCATCAAAAATGCCTTCGATTCACATAATGATCCTCACTTACTTTTAGGTCATCCATCTAATATGAAAGAGCTCCACAAGGAACACAACTGAATATTTAGTACATAAACATTTATGTGCTCTCTAATATGTACATGCATGCCAACAAGTTCTATAGGAAGTGTGACATATTATAATAACGACAAAATACCGTTTATATAATACATATTTTCCTTTTTATCGCTACACGCTACAATATTGATAGCAACCGACACAAAATTTGGCTTCTTCAGCGCCTAAACAAGCCATAATAGGCTTGTAGCTACACATACCAACTACACTATTCACAATGGCAGTATGCTAAAATACTAAATCATTCATTAGGCACACCAATTGTGTAACCACCACAACCAATAGCGAAAAGTCCCATCCACAAACATAGCCAATCAATGCACAGAGCCATACCGACAGCAGCAGCGCGATCTCTAGGGCCTTGGGATCCTTGAACGTGACGTAGGCCGTCCTCCCCGTCGCCACCCCATCGCTGCAAGCCCAAAATCACAATGCGGATTTCAGAGAACACGAAAAAGAAATATACCACTTCTGATTGCTAAAGCAATGCAGAGGCGCAACCATTAGCAATCCGAACAAAGAAATCGAAGGGCAAAGCGGCGCCTCACCATCTGATGTCGACGTGCTCGATTTCGCCGGAGAAGGAGAAGAACTCCCGCACCTCCCGCTCCCCTGCCAGATCTGAGATGTTCCGCACCCGCACCGTCCTCACCGCCCTCCTCTCGCCCTGCAAGCAGCGAACCCCCTCACACGATCACTCCTCTTCCTACCGCCGCCGCCGCCGCCGCGGCGCAAGAAAAGAAAAAACCAAGAACCGCTCACCTCCATGGTTGCTGATGGCGCGACACCGACCGCGAAGAGCAGACGAGCCAAGAATCCCGGCGCGAGCAGCAGAAGCAGGGTGGGGGGGAAGGCTTGGTGAGTGGCTGCGCTGGCGATCCGGGTAGGGTTTGGTGCTCGAGAGGCGATCCGCGTTGGCTGGTTGGGTTGGTTGGTTGGCTGGCCGCCGCGGCTGCGAAAAACTTTTCTACGTTTTCTTTTTCTTTCTCGAGCTGTTCGCTTCGCTGATCGCCGAGAAAGTTATTTACGCGACACGAACCAAACTCCACCTCGGAGGCCGTAATACCCGTTCTGCCCACGGCCATATCACCCACATGGATGGTACGAGGGGTAAAATAGTATTTTCGCAGGGTCGGGGTGTTACTTGTGAGACATGCTGGCTGCTGAGTTTGCTTCGCGGCGGCGCCATCTCTCCTGACCTGTAAACAAGACCAGTCTTGCTTACTAGTATAATTAAATTAATTAATATTTTTTCGGGTGATTACTGTATTAAGTGACCTAATAATGACACGGCAGCGGCTGGGCCCACACTCCAGTCACCGTCAGTGTGGGGTAGTGAGTGGTATAAAACCGGTGTTTAATTTTGGCGCGGGGCCGTGGGGTTAATCTAATCTGATGGGCGAGGTGGGCCCCCCAGGGCGATGTGATATGGTCTCGTGCAAATGGAACGGTCGTTGGTTGGGCCCACGGCCAGCTCGGTCGGGGGTCAAGTGGCACATCCGTCGCCGTCTGCTTCCCACCACGGAATGATGACAAGAGCTCTGTATTCTTTGCATGTGAGAGCAAGTTTAATAGTTTAGCCAACTATTAACTCCAATTCATCTATAGCCAATTTAATAGCTCATTCATACAATAGTTATATACTACATTTTTAATATCTGGTTCCACCTATTATACATACACTGCGTCTTGAAGTCCATGCTACAGCTGGCTACAAATCTGTAGCCCGCTGCCCTTCTCTCTCCTCATTTATCTGCTTAAAATATATTTGCAGTTAGCTTATAGCATGCTATTGTACCTGCTCTGACGTGAGCCATCTTGCCATCTCTCTCGCTGGCGAGCAGGCCCTACTAAAATTCATATTTTCTCCGTCTCAGCCAGCATACTGCGACATGTTTCCTTCGCTCTAAAATAAATTAACCTTTAATATCCTATATGAGTTTGGTTTTCTAGACAGGGAGTATGATAATATTTAATCATCTTAGAACAGTAAATCTAAACCTAACCTATTAAGTTGTAGTATTTTAAGACGAAGTTTTCTCCTTGAATTTCTTTGAAAAAAATATATTCCTCCTCGAATTATGGTTTGTGGATATTCTTCAGTCTTCACAGGAAAACGCGTGGCTAATTACGTGTTGAAAGATAATTCATGAAATTTTATCCCGAAAACGGGTGCTCTCCATTTGCTTATAGATCCTTGTCAACTAAAAATAAGTAAGGTCGTGTTCTGCCTATTCCTGTGTAAAACGGCGAATTCATTCTTGTGAAATTTCTTTGAACGTCTGATGAAATTGTTTATTACGATAAGTGTGTCATTATGTCACTCGTATAAGTAGTTTATCACGATGAAGTGGAAATTGAAAAACAAGAAGCAACGAGTTTAGCATAGTGCAATAAATGCCATGGTTAGTACCATCTCACTATAGACACAGGATCCGTATTGTAAGCACTTTACTGCAACGCTTCAATACGAGCCATATGGCAGCATACTGCCGGGATATTTATTCCATTATGCAGCATACGGGTTTAGTAATTGATTGTACTGTAGAAATTAATGTTGTTACTACAACATAGGATCCTACCTATATGATGTTTTTTTTTCCTATCTACAAGTTTGTTTTTTTTCCTATCTACAGGTTTGGTTCTTAGTGTCTGTTTAATTCGTGAAAAGAAAATTTTTGGGTGTCACATCGGACGTTTGATCGGATGTCGGAAGAGGTTTTCGGACACGAATGAAAAAATTAGTTTCATACCTCGCCTGGAAACCGCGAGACGAATCTTTTGAGGTTAATTAATCTGTCATTAGCACATGCTGGTTACTGTAGCACTTATAGCTAATCATGGATTAATTAGGCTTAAAAAATTCGTCTCGCAATTTCTTCCTTAACTGTGTATTATTTTTTAATTTATCTATATTTAATACTTCATGCATTTATCTAAAGATTCGATGTGATGTTTTTGGAAAAAGTTTTTGGGAATTAAACAGGGTCTTATGCCGGAGGGAGCTACAGTTAGACCCAGTTTAAAACGTAGGGAAAAGAAAAAGACCTAGCACTACATTTAACATGGACATATACTTCTATAGTTTTAGTTTTTGGAGTATCTAAAGTTAGACCTGATTTAAACGTAGAAATTTCACATGAATATTCCAATGCTCACAGAAAAGAATTATAAACTTATCAAGGAAAGGAGCAATAATATAATCCCTATATTCCGTTTTGTGGTGTAAGTCATTTTTGGTTTGTTATAATTCAAACTTTGGAAAAATAAAACAACATTCCTAACGCAATACAAATATCTTATAGCAGGATTTAATATAATTAATTTAGTGTTATAGATATTGTTACATTTTTCTTATAAAAACACCAAGTTTAACTTATAATAAATCCAAAACTTATTACCACTCCATTAGTGGAGCGATCAGTACTATACTTGGGTATCAGCCCATCAAGCACCTCAGGTCCAGTCTCACAGTAAGCCGAGCCTTGGAGAACCGAAGGCAACGGCCCAACAAGTCTGCCACGTGGCCCACGACGGAAGAAGCCCACGTCGAACAAAACCATTTCAGCCCAAATCTGACCGGAAGCAGAGGAGCGCCCACCGCCGCCGCCGCCGCCGCCTCCTCGCCTCTCCCCCTCTCCCGACGCCGGCGTCCACTCTCCCTCCCCTCCCCTCCCCACCTCCTAACACATGCCCGCGCCGCAGCAGCAGCAGCAGTGGTAGAGCCCAGCCTGCCTACCCTACCAACCGACGGGCAGTAGCATGCGCGGCGGCTTGCGCCGCGGGCTGGGCATCCTCCTCCTCCCGCTCTCCAGCTCGCCCAGCCGGGCGCCGCGGCCGCCGGTCCCGCTCGCTGCTCTGCTCGTCTACCACCGCCGCCTCGATGTCTTCGCCCGCCGGTCCTTCTGCAGCTCCGGCGGGGGCTACGCCGTGGAGCAGTTCTCCGACGACGAGTACGACCACGAGTACGAGGATCACCGGGTACCACCTCCGCGCAGGCGCCGAGCTAGCTTTTTCTTCCCTTTTTGTTCTTCTCCAGTTTCGCCATGCTGAGCTATCGAGTGGTGAACTGGTGACCCGCAGCCGTCGTCGTCGGTGGCGAACATCGACGAGTGGAGGTGGAAGCTGAGCATGCTGCAGCGCAACGCGGAGGAGCAGGAGATCATCTCCAGAGACCGGAGGGATCGCCGGGACTACGACCAGATCGCCAACCTCGCCAAGAGGATGGGCCTCTACAGGTCTTCCACCGTAATTTTGCTATCTCCGGTTCATAATTCCCAAATGTAGATGTCGAAACATTGAAATTTGTGGTTTGGTGTTTTCTCTGTGGAACGGCAGTGAGATGTATGGGAAGGTCATTGTTGCGAGCAAGGTCCCGCTGCCGAATTACAGGCCGGACCTGGACGACAAGCGGCCACAAAGAGAGGTGAGCCCATGCATTCCACTGGCAAGATCAAACATCTTTCCCTTATGCAAATTGACGGTGTTTAAATACTGCGAATGCCTTTGTTATGCATGGAAATACGCAGGTGGTGATTCCATTAAGCTTACAGAGGAGGGTTGAAGGACTTGTGCAGGAGCACCTTGATCGTGCACTCTTGCCGGATAAATGTGGAACTGGAAATGGTTCTGAGATGGCTGAGAAAGCTGAGAATGTGAACCTGGATGAGCAGCAGGATTCCCTTCTCGATCGATCGGTCATGGAGAAGATCCTTCAGAGGAAGAGCATACGGATGCGCAATTTTCAGAGAAGTTGGCAGGTATGTCACTCTTGATATGACTACGTAACTTTGAATTCAATCTGGATACAGGTTTGGATTATTTGAAAATGTTTAGATGGTTTATAGATCTGTACCTCAACAATGGGTACAGAATTTAGGGAGCTCTCTATCTGGATAATTTACAAATGCCTGGATACACATAGATTAGAGATTCCTTCTACAGCATTTAGTGTAAAATTTGCCTTATATCTCATTTCAACAATTCCATTGTGGTTGATCATCCATCTATCTGTAACAATAGGAATCACCTGAAGGAGTTAAGATGCTAGAATTCCGGAAATCACTTCCTGCATACAAGGAAAAGGAAAGGCTTCTAGCAGCCATTGCACGCAATCAGGTATATATACTGTATAATTCACAACATATGTTTATGAGCCATAGAATCTGTGTATACTGCATACATGTTTGGCAATTCATTTGTCTCTTTCAATTTTTCTGAACATTCTTATGCAATTCTAGGTTATAGTGATATCTGGAGAGACAGGGTGTGGCAAAACAACCCAGTTGCCTCAATTTGTATTAGAGTCAGAGATAGAATCTGGCCGTGGGGCCTTTTGTAATATAATCTGCACACAACCTCGGAGAATTTCTGCAATGGCAGTTGCAGAGAGAGTATCCACTGAGAGAGGAGAGAATCTTGGTGAATCGGTAAGATAAAGCTTTCTTTTTTCGTCTCATATGGTACCATGTCCCATCTCTAATATGATTAAGGACAAAATGTCTTTACTAGATTCTTCTATTGTATTTTTTTGTATACAATGCTAGTTTTTTTAATAGGTTGGCTACAAAGTTCGATTGGAGGGAATCAAAGGAAAAGACACACATTTGCTTTTCTGCACAAGTGGTATATTACTACGACGATTGCTCAGTGACAGAAACCTGAATGGAGTAACTCATGTATTTGTTGATGAAATACATGAAAGAGGCATGAATGAAGGTTGGAAGATTGCATTGTTTCCTTTGAATTTGCTGAGATCGTCTTTATTAAACTCCTGATAAAGTTGCATTACTTTGTTGGTTTCTCAGATTTCTTATTGATTGTCCTAAAAGACCTATTATCACGACGCCGTGATTTGAGGTTGATCTTGATGAGTGCTACTCTAAATGCGGAACTGTTCTCAAGTTATTTTGGAGGAGCACCAACTATCCATATTCCTGTGAGTTAATATCTTCTCATATAAAAAAATATATTACATCTGACATCTGTCTTATTCTTCTCATGAATGCTGCTTCTATCAGGGATTCACATATCCAGTGAGGGCACATTTTCTGGAAGATATATTAGAGAGGACTGGCTATAAGTTGACCTCAAGCAATCAACTTGACGATTATGGACAAGATAAAGTCTGGAAAACTCAGAGGCAACTATTACCTAGAAAAAGGAAAAATCAAATCACAACGCTTGTTGAGGTACATTTTCAATATATATATATATATATATATATATATATAGAGCGCGCACTTTCCCAACATTCTTCTGATATTATTATTGTACTATACAGGATGCCCTTAAAACTTCTAGCTTTGAGACCTATGGATCGAGGACACGCGATTCTCTGTCAAATTGGAATCCTGATTGCATAGGGTTTAACCTTATAGAAGCTGTTCTTTGCCACATATGTCGTAAAGAGCGGTCTGGTGCAGTTCTAGTTTTCATGACCGGATGGGATGATATCAGTTGCTTGAAGGATCAACTAAAGGCACACCCTTTGTTGGGCGACCCTAACAGAGTTTTACTGCTTGCATGCCATGGTTCCATGGCTACAGCTGAACAGGTAGTTGCTTCTGATTTGCCCCTATCTTATTGAGATTGCTTGTGTGATACGAGTTAAACCACTGGATTGGAGATATGAGTATTACATAAACATATTTTATATATAATGTATGCATCTGGACTGTTAGTCTATTGATACTTATTTCTGTTAGCATCTTTTGTGCATCGTATAATTCATGCTATTGACATCTATGAATGTATTATGATATTCGCAGAGGTTAATCTTTGAGAAGCCACCTCCTAATGTTCGGAAGATAGTGCTTGCCACTAACATGGCAGAAGCAAGTATTACAATAAATGATATTGTTTTTGTCGTGGATTGTGGAAAGGCAAAGGAAACGACATACGATGCACTAAATAACACTCCCTGCTTGCTTCCCTCATGGATTTCAAAGGCTTCTGCTCGTCAGGTAAAATGCCCAACTTTGATTTTTTTTTTGCTTCTCGTCTTTCAGCAGCAGCAGCATAAAATGGCATGTGCCTGTACCTACTTTCATTATTATTTGTTTTCTTGAACTCTCTCGATTTTAACCTTCTGTATGGTCTAGGGGGTAAATGAGCCAAAAAATAGTTTAGGGGGTTAGGTGATCCATTGAACTAGTTCGGGGGAGTAGAATGGACTTTTTTCAATGTAATATAATTGAACGTTTGTCCTGTTTGAGTCTATAGTATTATATTAGTACTTTTGACTCTTACTTTGCAGCTTAGCAGCTTTTTTTATCATTTTCTCGTGGAGGGCATGCCTTAGATTTGTGGTTGGGAAATACCTATATTTCTGAACAAGCACGTCCATGTGTCTCTTTTGCTTATGAGCTTGGCTAGTCGACCTATCTTTTATTTTTTCTGCTTCAATAGGCAGCAGAAATGTACTCAATATTAAAAATCAGAAACTTTGTAACAAGTGATCAAACTTGAAGATAACTCCTTAATTCAGATACACTATACTATTGTTTTCCTCTACCATATCCTTCTTTGCCATATGTCTGATAGTCTCCCCATTATCTTCGTGCAGAGGAGGGGCAGAGCTGGTCGTGTGCAACCTGGAGAATGCTATCACCTCTACCCTAGATGTGTGTATGATGCATTTGCAGATTACCAGCTTCCTGAGCTCCTTAGAACTCCATTGAATTCACTATGTTTGCAGATAAAAAGTTTGCAAGTTGGCAGCATTGGGGAGTTTCTATCAGCTGCCTTACAGCCCCCGGCACCACTAGCTGTATGTCTTATTGTCTTGGGTGGCTACGGGCTAGCAAAAGGGTTCTTGTTTTCAATCATCTCCGCTTTTTTTTTTGGCTGATCAATTGATAAATATACAGGTCCAAAATGCAGTGGAATTCCTGAAAATGATTGGAGCATTAGATGAAAATGAGAACCTAACTGATCTAGGTACATCTATCCTACACTTTGGTTCTTTGCTAACACTGCAAAACATATTATTACTGAAACCTATTTAATATTCCCTAATCCAACTTTGTAGGAAGATACCTTTCCATGCTTCCTGTTGATCCAAAGTTGGGGAAGATGCTTATAATGGGTGCAGTTTTCCGCTGCATTGATCCTATACTTACCGTGGTTGCTGGATTGAGTGCCCGGGATCCTTTCCTGCTGCCACAGGACAAGAGAGATGTATGCCTTGATTTTCCACTAATTACTATTATTAATTGGGAGACACTATTCTTGCTTTCATAGAAAATTTATAAAAAAAGGGAAGAATTGGGCCTCAGGCTTTGTGTATTCATTATGGCAAGAAGGATGTGTTTGATTTTTTGTCCTCTATTTGTTAGTTGGCAGGAACCGCCAAATCAAGATTCTCAGCAAAAGATTATAGTGATCATATGGCCCTAGTCCGGGCTTATGAAGGATGGAAGGATGCAGAGAGAGAAGGGTCTGCTTATGAATACTGCTGGAGAAATTTCCTTTCTGCTCAAACACTTCAAGCCATTCACTCTCTTCGGAAGCAATTCAGCTATATATTAAAGGATGCTGGTTTGGTAGACTCTGATGCAAATACAAATAATAGTTTGAGCCATAATCAATCATTGGTCCGTGGTATCATATGTTCTGGACTTTTCCCAGGCATAACATCAGTTGTGGTAAAGATCTGTCAGACTACTTTGTAAAGTTCCATTCTATTTGAAAACACAAAACTTGTCAGTTAATTTTTGAGCTTTCCTTTCAGCATAGAGAAAACTCTATGTCGTTCAAGACCATGGATGATGGCCAAGTTCTTCTTTATGCTGTAAGTTCATACTGGAACGTCTTGAAGTTTTCATGTGCAACACCCTGCTTACTAGCTTATCACTTGACCTTTCATGGGAGATAGCCCATCTAGGGTGCCATGTATAGTGCCTTACATTTCACAGATACCAAAATTGTGCTGATTTATTTGCATTTTACGCTATTCCAGAATTCAGTGAATGCTAAGTACCAGACCATCCCTTATCCATGGCTGGTCTTTGGTGAGAAGGTGAAGGTAAATGCTGTCTTCATCCGTGACTCAACCGGAGTATCAGATTCCATCCTGATCTTATTTGGTGGTGCTGTTACAAAAGGAAGCATGGTATATAAATATTAAATCTTGTTCAAGTGCTTTATGACATTTTTGCATTTCTATTTTCCCTACCTATATACCTTCTAACCTGTCCATCATAGGCTGGGCACCTGAAGATGCTCGATGGTTACATCGATTTGTTTATGGATCCTAGCCTGTGTGAATGCTACTTGCAACTTAAAGAAGAGCTTGATAAACTTGTACAGAAGAAGGTAAGCCATGCAATATTCTATTGATTTCGTTCCACTAGATATTTCTGTTGCCGAGTCAGCGTTTAATAAGTATTTGACAGGCATTGCCAATGCTGTTATGACTTATGAGGCATGTATAACTAACATTGCATATGCTGCTATAGTGCGCCAAATGTTATTTCTCTTAAATCTGTCCACCTTCTGTGGAAGCTAGGAACAAAGGAGAAAATTCACATGCAATGGACAGAGAGACAACCTTTTGTTGTTTATTGCCAGTCACTTGAAATGATATTTGATATTGAAACATGGCCTGTGGTACATCATCGGTTAGGGCAAAAAAGATTGAAACTAACTGTGCAGTGTTTTTTTTTCTTGATTTCAGTCAAATTCTTCCGCATCTATTATATATCAGTCATGTGTAATAACTCTACGATGTTTTCAATCTGAACTCCAGCTTGAAGACCCCAGCTTCGACATCCACAAGGAAGGAAAGTACATCTTATATGCCGCACAAGAGCTCGCTGCAGGCGACCTATGCGAAGGAAGGTTTGTGTTTGGCCGCGAGACGAGCAGAGCAAGGCTCAGCAGCAGCGACGACACCAAAGGCAACATTATCAAGGACGGAATGAACCCCAAGAGCCTGCTCCAGACCCTGCTGATGAGGGCCGGCCACACCCCTCCCAAGTACAAGACAAAGCACCTCAAGACCAACGAGTTCAGGGCCATAGTGGAGTTCAAAGGGATGCAGTTTGCCGGGAAACCCAAGAGGAACAAGCAGCTCGCCGAGAGGGACGCCGCCATTGAAGCGCTGGGATGGCTGACACAGACCTCAGGGACAAAGCTTCAGGATGATGGCGATGATTCCCCTCTTGACCTGACGGATAACATGCTGAAGTTGCTCAGTAGACCGAGGCGGCGGTCCAGAAACAATTCCAGGAAATGATTTTCCTGTCAAGGACATCTAGTACTTAGGTTCATAAGAAGCCCATGATAGTTTTGTTATGGTGCCATTTTTTTGTTGGCCTATTGGTTGGATGCATTCGAGCTTGGTTTCACCGGATTCATCGCCCCTTTTGGAATTTTGCTCCGTGTCGAGCGTTTAGATGCTCAAATTAGTGTGACCATTATTGGTTGCATCCCTTGAACATGGTTATGTAATTTGTTAGTTTGTACAGCTTATTATGTATACAACGGCATGATGTATGATCGAGAAGTGAGGAAAAATGGAAGGTACTGGATTTTGCCTGTACTAATTCCGCATTCACTGGCAATGTCGTGCATCCGTAATCCGTTCGTGTCAAAACTGAAGCGGCTGCCGCCGGCGACCACTTAGGTTTGTTTGAATTGTAATCAAATTTTATCCTATCAATATTTTGCAAGTGTTAAAACCTTGGCAAATTTTGATACTTTCTAGATTGATAGCGTAGAATGTGTATTATCATAGACATAAATTGGTAACAAAACAAACATTCAAACTCTACTATTGAAACTTAAAAAAAACTAGGACTCACTCCGTTTCACAATGTAAGTCATTCTAGCATTTTTCATATTTATATTGATGTTAATGAATCTAGACATATATATATATATATATATATATATATAGAAAATACTAAAATGACTTAAATTCTGAAACGGAGAAAGTAGGACAAAAATTGGTTTTCGAGGGAAGAACAAAAGTTGGTTTCAATCCAACCCGTCTCCGCTTGATCAGGTGCGTCACCCGTGGCGCCAGCGTCAAGGCTGTGGACCACAAAATGAAAGAGAAACCCAAACCATAATTGCCCCTTCACCACTTGATTAATTTATCCTCTCCTCGCGTCGCTGTCGCGTCTCCCAGTTGTTGGGGGAGTGATAGTCTGAGGAGAAGAATATCATGACACAACTAGCCAACCAACCAACCAACCATCCTTTTGCTTTTGCATCTCACACTTGTGTATACAAATGAAGGAAGACGAATTACATTCCATCTCCTCCCCTTCCATTTCATAATCCACCCCCAAAATAGCAAACAAAAAAATATCTTATCAATAATTAAATCCCTTTTTTTATCTGATCCAAAACTTTTTTTTAAATTCTAGAAGCTACTAGAAAAAGTCATGGGGCGAGAGCTGACTGTGCCGTGGGCTCCAGGCCAATCCAGGCCCAGGAGGCCCAGCAATTTCTTCCCCTCTCTCTCCTTCAAAGCAGGAGAAAAGAAGAAAAATTGATTGCTCTCTCGTTCCGTTCCGGAGGAGAGAGAGAGAGAGAGAGAGAGGAGAGCGGCGGCGATGGCGTCGTCGTCGTCGTCGGCGTCGAGCAGGTTCTCGCCGGCGCTGCAGGCGTCGGATCTCAACGACTTCATCGCCCCCTCGCAGGACTGCATCATCTCCCTCAACAAGGGCCCCTCCGCCCGCCGCCTTCCGGTGAGACTCCTACCCCGCGCTCGCTGATTCCCTTTCTGCCCTAGGCTGGGGCTGGATTGGAGCTATGCCCGGCGGCGCTGCTCCGGTGTTGGTTGGCTTGCCGGTCGCGTGGTTGGTCGCTGGCCGTGGAACCGTGCGTCGTACCAAAAAAAGTGTGTGTAGTTTTGTGTAGCCATATGGGTGATGCGTGGTAATCTTAGCAGCGTACTAGTTCGTCTCACCATGCGATGCGGGATGATTCTGTATCGATATTGGAAGATTTTCGAGTGCTGTACTGCTGATGTCTAGCCTGTAGGCATCGATTGATAGAGCGTGCAGAGTAGAGAGGAGGAGGAAAAGGAGGCGGAATTGATTTTGTCCTTCTGCTGTTAGGTTGTTTGTGAACGAGACGAGGGGACAAAATGGTCTTGGCTAAAGACGAGCCACCATTATCGAACACTCTGAATTCTTCGGAGTTCGGGGGTGGGATTTATGGTATCAGATGCTTTTTTTGCTGCATACTGTCTTTCCTGCTGTTCGTTTTAGTCGAGAGAAATCAAATTAAAGCCTGCAGTGAGTGAACAACCTCTCCAGAGGTGTTGAAGAAAACTTTTTGATTAGTAATAGAGAAACATATGAAACCAAAACAGAAGTCCAGTATCAGGTGTTGGTTGCAAACATGAAAGCAACGTTCAATCATATATGATTTCTAACTGGCACCTAGTTCCCTAATTGTTTGTTGAATGGCAGAATAAACTCAATACCAGACTTTGCACCTTTGGTATTTACATCTCTGCACACATTTGTACAAGTAGCTTCAAAATTAGTATAACTGGATGATTCGCTTCCCATCCGCATACCATTCCTCATATCTTGGCACTTCTGTTAACAGATCAAACAAAAGGAAATTGCAGTGAGCACAAATCCTCCAGAGGAAGCAGTCAAGATTTCACTGAAGGACTGTTTGGCTTGCAGGTTTTCTTTACTACCTTGCACTGTTCATTCAATCAGCAGCTTGTCCAAATCCAAATAATGCTGACTGTTTCATTTTAATCCCATAGTGGTTGCATAACATCAGCAGAAACAGTTATGCTTGAGAAGCAAAGCTTGGGTGACTTCATTACTCGCATCAACTCTGACAAAGCTGTCATAGTATCGGTCTCTCCACAGTCAAGAGCATCGCTAGCTGCATTCTTTGGTCTTTCTCAATCACAGGTGATTAAATATTTTTTTCAGTTATCTGCTTCCCTGTCAAATCTGTCCTTATAAAATGTTTTGTCCGAAATGCTAGTTTATTTGAACATAACCACGACTAGAGATGCATAAAGGAGTGCATTTTTATCATGAACGTGGTAACAAAAGCAGGAGCTTAATACCTTTATGCTCAGGTTTTCAGAAAACTCACTGCGCTGTTCAAGTCGATGGGCGTAAAGGCAGTTTACGACACAAGTTCCAGTCGAGATCTGTCCCTAATTGAAGCATGCAGTGAATTTGTTACTCGTTATCATCAAAACCAGTTATCTAGTGGCAAAGAAGCTGGAAAAAATCTTCCCATGCTTTCATCTGCATGCCCAGGTAAAATTGTTTGCAGGGTACTATGTAATTTAGGTATCATGAATTCTGTACTTCCACATAATGCTTGTACTCTGGTAAAAAATATTTGATGTTTAGAATAAGATTCACTCAAACTTTTAAAATTTTGACCATCAATAATTTCTCATCGAATGCTTAGTTTAAAAACAAAACAAATGATATACATAGATTTACCTCGAAAAGTACTATCATAATATCATAAACTTATTAGATTTTATAAACTAATTCTAATATAAAATTGATTGTTGGAATTTTAAGTTGGGCAGGATCTTGTCCTAAATGTCCCTTTTTTTTTTTACCGTAGGGGGTAGCTTATTAGTTGCATCTTATTTTATAAACAAGAGTAAGATTAGTGCACAAATATATTCAAACCTCTTCAACTTGCAGGTTGGATATGCTATGCAGAAAAGACTCTCGGTTCATTTATCTTGCCTTACATCTCAGCTGTGAAGAGCCCCCAACAGGCCATTGGTGCTGCTATCAAGCATCATATGGTTGGAAAACTTGGTCTGAAGTGAGCACTTTGCCATAGTTGATGTAAAGGTGTTACCTTCATATTTTATATACTATAGACCCTTAAATATTTGGACTTACAGTTGTACATGAATGAATTTGTTGTGTAGGCCACATGATGTTTATCATGTTACTGTGATGCCCTGTTATGATAAAAAACTAGAAGCTGTTAGGGATGATTTTGTTTTCTCAGTGGAAGATAAAGATGTTACAGAGGTAGATTCCGTATTAACCACTGGTGAAGTGTTAGATTTGATACAGGTAACTGATTTTTTTCCCATGTCCTGTCTTTTGATATGCATTTAAAAAACTATGAGAAGCTTATACCATTTTCATGCTTGTGCAGTCCAGATCTGTTGATTTCAAGACCCTAGAGGAGTCTCCCATGGACAGATTGTGAGTCCCTAGTGTGCCTTTAGCCCCTTTGGGTGAAGTCCTAATAGAATTCAAGTTGGAAAGTAAAATCAGTCATTATCTGTTCAACCGATATTTCAGATTTACAAATTTTGCATTGAATTTAATCACTCCTTCAATAAAAAGTCAATAGAATAATTCATGTTGCTTTGGATAACATGCTGTGGTATATCACAGTTGTTTTATCTGTCATATCTGGAAACTCACATATACTTACGTTCATTGTTGATCCAGATTAACCAATGTTGATGATGACGGTCAACTATATGGGGTTTCTGGTGGCTCAGGGGGTTATGCAGAAACAGTCTTTCGACATGCGGCACATGTTCTCTTCGATAGAAAAATTGAAGGATCAGTTGATTTCAGAATCTTACGAAATTCAGATTTTCGTGAGGTTACACTGGAGGTGAATTCATCCTGCATCATGTTGGCCTGCTTTCAATTCTCTCTTAAGCATGATTCAAGTGGCCTTAGATTAATTTTGTATAACGTGTGTTGTGTTAATGCACAGGTGGAGGGCAAACCTGTTCTTAAGTTTGCACTTTGTTATGGATTCAGAAATCTGCAGAACATTATTAGGAAGATTAAGATGGGAAAATGCGAATATCACTTTATTGAAGTTATGGCATGTCCTTCAGGTACTCCCATTTATGATACAGTGTGGCTTGCCCGCTTTAAGTAAATGGTTCTGAGCCATAGGATCTTGATTCTATGACCTTAATTGTTCGCTTGCAGGCTGCCTGAATGGGGGAGGTCAAATAAAACCTGCCAAAGGCCAGTCTGCGAAGGATCTTATCCAACTACTAGAGGATGTGTACATCCAAGATGTAAGCTAGCGAAATCTCTCGCTAAATTTCATGCTGTTTGTTTGGAACTTGCTTTTCTATGCTATGTTATGTTGTCTCAGCATTGGTTGGATTCTTCCATGTCAATGTGGAGTAGACCTGAAGCTTCTTACTTGATGTATCCTAGTAAAAAAAAACAGAGAGAATAATCTGACCTCACAGTTCATTTATGGTGATCCATCATGTTGCTGTTAACATGCCAATCAAGTATAACTGTGTGGTAGTATGCAATTCATATTTACCGATCATCACATGTGCATATGAAATGCTAGCTGTGATGCTTCTAGGATCTAATTACTACTGTGCAAATATGTTATGTTTGCTGTATGCCAGAATTTCCACTAACTGTAAAGCTTATGGCCTTATGTACCAGGTATCGGTATCCAACCCCTTCGAGAACCCTATTGCGAAAAGATTATATGATGAATGGCTTGGGCAACCTGGTTCAGAAAACGCAAAGAAGTATCTACACACGAAGTATCACCCAGTGGTGAAAAGCGTGGCATCGCAGTTGCAGAATTGGTGATAACACAGTGGTGGAAAGCATTTCCCAGTGTGGGCAGTTGCTTGTGCCATCTTGGTGCCCTGCCCACACTAAGCAAACACTGAACACACAGAAAAGAAATACACGTCATCAAAGATTTTGCATGCGGGCAAATGAATTTTGTTAGATTGTAGGTTTTACCAGCTTTTCTTGGTAATGTTTGTATACTACCTCCTCACTGGGAAACACAGATGAGATTGTAACATGTAAAAACGAAGTGAACCAAATAGTAGTTGATCTACTCAGCTGATAATTCCATTGCAATTTTTCAAACAGGGCCTATTCGTTAGCATTTATCTTATGATTCCTTAATTTGTTTTATGTACAACAGTGATCTTTTTCTCTTCTTCTATGACGTGCGTGAAACAGACGTTTGTCTTCTTCATTGACCTTGATACAGCTTTGCCCCGTTGACATTTGATGGTGAAGACATCAAAGTGAACTTTGCAAAGTTGATTAAAAATTAAGGAGAAGACCAACTCCGAGGTGTGTTTGGAATCCGCACCTTCCTGGCCCGTGGTTTTGCATTTGGAATCTCTATATAACTCTGGAGATTCTTTGGGGAAACAATATTTTTTAGATGAAGGGAAAAACAAAATACTCCAATTTGGCAGACTGACATTGCACAGAAACAAAGAGAAGGCCTGCAGCTGACCGCCGTACGAGGCTCAAAACAGCAAACTTTATCCTTATCAAGAAGGCCAAAATCACTCAAAAATAAACGATACAATTTGTGCTGCATTTTCATCAGCAAATCAGTAGTAAATTCTACAGAGGTTGAGGTTCAGATGCAGGCTGGAACATGTCGGGGAGCGTCTCGAGCAGGTAGGTGAACAGCCCGCCCAGCAAGAAGATGAACACGAACGCGAGCACGATCTTGGTGATGTACGCTGCCATCGTCTCCTGGTCGCGAGGATTCTTCGCCGACTGCTTCGTGTCATCTCGTCTCTGCATGGCAACCGAAAATTTTATTCAGAGAGGAAATCGTTGCTCATTTTGTTCTTGATTTCCGAGAAGAAAAGAGGAGGAAAAAAATTTTCTGAACTTCTTGCATACCGTGTCGGACGCCGGCGTCTGGTAGTAACCCGGCGCGTCCTGCTCGGTGATGGTCTGCAGCTTCCATCCGTCGCCGTAGTCGGCGAGCGGCGCGGCGGGGCCGAAGCTGACGGGCTCCTCGCCGTCCTTCACGGCCTCGACGTGCAGCGCCGCCGGTGCGCCGGGGGCGAGCTTGCGGTTCACGGCGTGCAGCGCGTACCGCGCCGTCGTCCCGAACGCGAACCGCCGCACCTCGCCGGAGCTCCTGCACTTCACCTCCAAGAACTGCGAGCACACACACACACCACCCACATTGAGCCAATTTCCTTCTCCTCGTTCTCAAGATTGAGGACACTCTACCGTAGAAAAAAAGTAAGCAGGTTTACCGGCGGTGGAGGAGGGTCGCCGGCGCCGGCGCCGGAGGCTGCCTTCTCCGGCTCGTCGGGCTTCCGCTCCATCGCGCCGCCGCCTTCCGATTTCGCGATGGTCGCGGCAAGGCGGAGGAGGAGTTGTGGCCGACTGACTTTGGCCCGTGCGCGTGGAGCAGCAGCGAGGAAAAAAGCACGAAAGAATCCGCTACCGGGTTGACTTTTTCCTATCCGTTTCTGGTCCGGGCCGAATCGCTCAGAGATTTCGGCTCAATACCACGCGGGATCCACCGTGATTTCGGCCCAAGATTACGCGGAATCCACCGTGATTTCGGCCCAAGATCACGCGGAATCCACCATTTCGCGAGCACACGCGATGCGCACGCGCGAGGCGGAGACCAAACCAAACACCACCGTCGCGGCGCGTGCGTCTCACCAGTCGCGCGAGCGAGCCGCGTGACGCGGTGGTGGTGGGCACCAGCGATGGGCAAGGGCGGCGGCTGCATCCCGAGCAAGAGGCACCGCGCCGCCGCGGCGGCGGCAGCGCCAGCGTCGCACTCGCACCAGCGCGAGAGGACCTCGATCCCGGCGCCGGCGGCGGCGCCGCGGCCGGTGCGCATCTACGTCGTGTTCTACTCCATGTACGGGCACGTCCGGCTCCTGGCGCGGGCGGTGGCGCGCGGGGTGGGCTCCGTCCCGGGCGCGCGGGCGATCCTCTTCCGCGTCCCGGAGACGCTGCCCCCCGCCGTGCTCGCGCGGATGGAGGCCGACGACGGCGGCGGCGGCGGCGACGGCGAGGACGTCATCCCCGTCGTGGACCCCGACGGGCTCCCCGACGCCGACGGGTTCCTCTTCGGCTTCCCTGCCAGGTTCGGCGCCATGCCTGCGCAGATGCAGGCCTTCTTCGACTCCACCGTGCCGCTCTGCCGCCACCAGCGCCTCGCCGGCAAGCCAGCCGGCCTCTTCGTCAGCACCGGCACCCAGGCCGGCGGCCAAGAAACCACCGCGTAAGTATCCGCCGCCGCCGCCGCGAGATCGCATCCCTCTCGCATCAGATCATCTCACTCTGCTCCGTGAATCTCTCTGGCTGCATGCATGGATGAAGCTGGACGGCGATCACGCAGCTGGCGCACCACGGGATGCTGTTCGTGCCGATCGGGTACACCTTCGGGGAGGGGATGTTGGAGATGGGCGAGCTCCGCGGCGGGTCGCCGTACGGCGCGGGCGTCTTCTCCGGCGACGGCTCCAGGCCGCCGTCCGAGCTCGAGCTGGCCCTCGCCGAGCACCACGGCAAGTACATGGCCACACTTGTCAAGAAAATGGTGCACGGTGCCTCGTGATCCGAATGCTCTACCAAATATGGAATCTCTCGATCGAGAATCCTTGCAATTAGACTGAGATTTCAAGCCGATATCCTCCAGAAATTCAGTGGCATTGTGCGAATTGTGACCTGACTATCTTGCATTGCCCTGCCTGTTCTAGCATGATCAGACCCAAATGTGATATTGGGATTATGGAACAGAAAAGGATGCAGACGGTATGCATAATCTAGGTTTGTCTAAAAGAATTACAGAGGTCATCAATAAAGACATCAATAACTGAGAACGATAGTGAGAATTAGGCAGAGGTGACAATATATCACATACTAATGTATAGCAACTCAAAACTATGATCTCCAACTCCAAGTCAAAGAGGACTAACATTTCTAAAGCAGTAATATTTCCAGTTTTGGATGTGATAAATGTAAACTTGCAACTACACCAAGAACAAGGGGAAAAAATAACTCAGGTTCATCACTCTCATTTCATCATTGTGCACTCCTAAAGAGTTTTTAAAAAATCGCAGATTCTAGTTGTACAAAGAATATGTCCAGGAAAAAGGTCAGGGGTGTCTACATTTCTGCAGCCCCAACAAATCTAACATTGCCCAACCAACCCCATACAACAAATGTCTGCCCTACTTTTCTTTCCCCGAGGAACTATTCCTAATATATCTAAAGAAACACTCGTTTCCCATGAAACATATCTAATCTGAAAACAGTCTTACACAATGCAGCTTGTAAAATTAATAGCATCTCACTTAGCAGGGGTAGCATTTGTTTTATTTTGCATAGTACTTGCTTGGGGGTCTTCAGTTGTCTTGGATGAAGCACCGTCAATGGCAATGTTCCCCAAGTTCACAGCCATTGCATCTCTCTCTTCATTCTCAATCCTCTGTTTCTCTGAAACACCATCATCGGACGAATTCTGTGTCAGGTCTGATGGCCGTTTAGGCTGCCGGCGAAGGGGCCCGACATCAAGCCATGGATGTTGAAGCAGTTGAGCGGCTGAAGGACGCTTTTCAGGAACAAAATCAAGTATTGGAACAAGAAACTCTGCCATGCCATTTGCATCTATATCACTGAATTCATATTTCTCAACCAAAACCTTGTTGAGCGGCCAAAACCGCAAGCGCCGAATGTGCCTCAAATCCCCATAACGATTGAAGAACTCACGTGAATATCGACCACCCAAGGCAATCTAGGAAACAATGTCTTTGTATTTTATCTATAATTCAGAACAATTTACATGAAAGCTTACGAAGATGGAAAATTTGTTACCTTTCGAGGCATCATTCCTAATAGCTCCATCATCAGCGCGAGGTGATCCTGCTTCAAGCAAGAATTGATCAGAATAAACTTCCAATGGAAAGGGATGGCATTCTGTACTATAGGGAAGACAACTAGATTTCATATCTATCATTATGGTTTTGCTACTTGCCCATATCTATTTCACACAGCATCTCCAAACAATGGCAGGTGTTTAAGAATTATAAAAAGATTACTCAGAGAACTTTTCAATTAGTAATATTGCTAAATGAAAAGTTTGAATAAATTCAGCAGTTGATTTCCCACAAATATGAAGTGGTCAATCAACTAGGACAACTGAATAAAAGGTTTGAGCTTATAATGCAACTTGACAAAAAAAAGCAATTGGCATCATGCATTCATGTAGTCAATGATATGTTCCAATACCATATACCACAAACTTGAAATGTATTTATCAATCACATTCAGAATTCATTCAATCAAGATAACCATATGACATACCTGAAAAGAACTAGCTTAGACCAGTCCTTAACATTACCTTTCATCTGTTGCCGATCATTTTTAGAAGAAAACTGTGGCTTTTATCACATTGGTATGACTTAGTTTCATTCTCTCTTTTTTTCTCTCTTATAGACTACAAGTTATAGCTTCTGTAGAACACGTGATGTAGACGAGTACGTTCACAGATTTTCAAAATGATAAAATCACAATTATAATAGTAAAGTATGTATGCCAGAGACCATGCCAAACTGCCAATAACCGAAACTTCGTTTATTTCTTGAACAAAGCGAGTTTCTAATGCATAGGTGCATGTTATTCATGGTTAAAAGGAAAGTGTCAGACTCGAATAGCCAAGTACACTACAAATTGAATAAACACATGGCATAGCAAAGTTTTCTCCTGTCATCTTATGTGCTACAGTACTTCTTCCACGAGTAAGGAGGAAGAGAGGGTGCGTCGTGTAATTGTGTATGGTGGTGGTGGTTGGTTTGGTTTGGAGGCCTTGTCAGGTCTCATAACTAAGCATGAAAAGAAAATATACTATGTGTTCAAAATTATTGTGAAACAGTAAGCAAACATGAACAAGAAATGAGCTGTATCAGGCCGGTACCCCACAATGTTTTATGTATATCAACCTTACCATTGTCCAAACATGATCGCCTTCAAAACGAAATGTTCTTATTTACAATATTTAAAATTTGATTATCATTTTTTTTCTGGAATAATTGGTTAGATTCCTACCGAATCCCACAAATCTGAGTCAGAAGATGCATCGAAATGCTCAAGCTTTATTAAGAAATAATTTCTCCAAAACAATCTTTGTAGCTTTCATTTTATTTGCTTTTGGTTATGAGATCATGGCACAATTAGATGTTGACAAATATCAAATTTCAGAGTGATGTTCCTTTTAAGTATTGTCACAAAAGAAAACCTAGGTACATGCCAAACTGGAGTTTTGGGCTGTAGCCAGTAGATGTCATTTGGCTTGATCACTCAAATTTCTATTGTGATAGACTCCTATTTTTTTAAGCTAAAGTGTTGACAGGTGATAGTTTGAGTTAAGTTTTGTATAGATATGAAATGTCTTGGAAAGAAATAAATAGACATACCTCATCCCTGTCATAACTGTCACCACTGTGCGGATCAAATAGCACATCTCCTGTGGCAAGCTCAAAGCATATGCATGCAAAGGACCACAAGTCAGCAGATGTAGAATACTTGGATCCCAGTATCACCTCAGGGCATCTGTATTGCCTTGTTTGGATATCACTTGTAAACTGTTTGTATGTCCAACATGCATTTCCGAAGTCTACCAGTTTGCACTTCAGGTCAGCCTCCAATGCCATTTTTTTCCTGGTCCCTTTGCTACCCCGTCTACTCCCTTCACCTTCTTCTTTCTTGTCTCCATCCTGATTCGGACTACCCTCGTTTGCCGTACTCAAATTTCCCCTATCATCTGACCCATCCGTCTCCCCAGATGCAACAGTCCCACTTCCTTCTGAAGTTGCAGCGGCTGCACGCTTGGCTTTCCTCCGAATCTTCTTCTTTTGGTTCCTGGTGAGACCACCATTCACTGATGGTGCATGTGCCTTTGGAGGAGGATCATCAGTTCTTGCAGAAGGTGCCACCAGCGGCACACCTGATTTCCGGGGGTCCTTCGAGGGATCAATAGTGGATTCAAGCAATATATTCTCAGGCTTAAGGTCAGTGTGAATGATTGAAAGTGTGCGGTGGAGATAGTCAAGGCCAATGAGCACATGTCGGCATATCTCCTTAACCATGGGAAGTGGAATTCCATGGTAATCCGTGTACTTTATCAGGGTCAGCAAATTATCACCAAGAAACTCAAACACCATGCACACATGGTTCCCATTAGGCCCCGAGTGCTTGAAGTGGTCAAGAAGCTTAACGACGCACCGAGAGTCATCAGGATCACCATCGGCAATCTGCTTCAAGATCTTGATCTCATCCATGGCCGCCTCTGTGTAGTGCTGTGCACTCTTCTGCACCTTCAGCGCCACATATCTCTGCATATATATAACCAACAAATTCAGAAACACAAAGGGTATATAAGAACAGATACATTTCGTGTATGATGATGGTGGGATTAACGAATAAAACAGTACTCATTAACAACGAAATTAGCCATTATGATACCACCAAAGCAATAAAACGAACAGGTTGCGGGTACAAACGAAACCGCCCGCAATACACCAGATGATTAAAACGCATCCAGGTCGAGATTTCCCACAAATCATCACGAATCTAGGAAGGGAAAAGGGGGGAACGCCCATTCCACGAGGAAATTTAAGGGGGGGGGGGGGGGGCAAAAGGGATTCGAACGCACGGAGTGGCCGGTGTCCCAGGCGAGCCAGACGGTGGAGAAGTGGCCCCATCCGAGCTTGGACTGCACGACGTAGGCGCCCTGCTTGAACGAGTCCCCGACGCGGACGGCGTGGTACCCTCCCCGGCGGTAGTCCTCCGTGCCCTCGTCCTCCGACGTGTAGTCGCTGCTGCCGCCACCGTCGCCGTCGTCCCCCTCCGTCCCCGCCTCCGCCTCCATCTCCGCCTCCTCCGCCCGCCGCCTCGTCGCCCTTGCCTCCGCCATCGCCGGGGGATGCCCTAGATCTGAGCGCCGCGGGATGCGGTGGGCCGCGCGGATTAGGGTTTTGGGGCGGCGCCGCGCGGATTTTGGTGGTGGCGGAGGTGGAGAGGGTGGTGGTGGCGCTCGCCTTCCGCCGCTGCTGCTTCCCTCACCGCGGCTCGAGGGGGGTCAGTTTTATTATGGCAAAATTTATCGGTGGGGACGCAACTAATTTAATTACCATCTTAATAAATTTTACCAAACGACTTTTAAATTTGGGTTCGATTTTTATTTTTATTTTTTTGGGTGAGAGGACAGGCTAACTAAATATCCTCCGTGAATCTACACGCTTTGAGGGTACATTATAGTAATCATAGTAATAAAAAGCAAGTTTAATAGTATAGCTAACTACTAACTCTAAATCATGTATAATCAATTTAGTAGCCAATTTATATATAATAGTTACCTATAAACATATGCTACATTATTAATGCATGGTCCCACCTGTCATACAATCATTGTGTCTTGAAATCTATATTATAGCTGGCTATAAGTCTATAATCTAGTGCTCTTCTTTTCTCTATTGTCTCCTTAAAGTATGATTATAGTTGGTTTATAATCTACTATTTGTACATGCTCTGAATAAATAAAAAAGGCCAATTGTAAAATGGTCCCGTTCTTCTCATCATATTGTAATTCAAGATTTTGAGTATGGCTCTTAGTTCCTCCATTCAAAAATATTGCTACCTAGCACGTGATTGGATATTTCCTAGAACAATGAATCTGGACAAATTCAATCACGTGTTAGATAGTACTCCCTCCGTCCCAAATATAAGCATTTTTAGCTATGAATCTGGACAACTGTGTCTAGATTTATAGCTAAAAAGTTGTTATATTCTGAAACAGAGGTAGTAATATTTTAAAACGAAGGAAGTAGTTTATGATGGGATTTTCTCAGCATCATTTTTTTAATTCAATGACTTGTGCTGGTTTCATAACATTAACTGGTAACATGGTCTGCAATCAATGACTCGATATGTTGGGGGGAGGGGGGGTACGAGAATTTCCCATGGATTTGTGAGCGGTATAGATACATATACTAAAATTGTTAAAAGTTCATGCCAATATCATGTATTCAACAAAAATGCTGAAAAAATTTTGTAGGTTGTTTTGACTTTAATCAAAATCAAATTGTTTCAAATTTGATCAAGCTTATAAAAAAATAACATTTTCAACCCATACAAATATATTATGAAAATATATTCAATTACTAATTTAATAAAACTAATTTGGTATTTTAAACATTATTATATTTGTTTATAAATTTAGTGGAAAGCAGTTGTTAAAGAATGGGATAGTGCATTGGTGTAGTCGTGTTGTAACAATTATCTAATATATTAACCGTCATGTTAAAAATAATATCTTTTAGGAACGGAGGAAATATATGTTAAATATACTTAATTACTTTAGAACAAGACGTGAACATTTCAGATAAAAGCATAGCTTGCTGTCTACCAAGCTTTATTTTTGCAAGAAAGATAAATGTGTAGGACGCCTGCTACCTGGAAAAGCAAGTTCATGTTCAGGTTCATGCTCCCTGTCAAGTGCAAGGTCAATTCCAAGCATCAATAATTCCTTGAAAAATATAAACGCATCCACTATGACATGGACATGTTGGAGAGAAACAAGGGAACTGACCTACACTGATGAATAATCCTATGCAATTGAGACACATGAGGAATAGTGAAAATTGTTGGAATGTTGGGTCTACACTCTACACGGCCGCAACTTATATATTTGTCGCGTATAAACTTGTAACTCTATTTGCTTGACACGGTAAATCTCTTCACTGTTTTTTTTGCTTTGATTTTACAGAGATTTCAGCAACGAGCATATGAAAAATGCGGAAAATTAATTCACCATATCGCCTTGGAATATTCTAGAGAACAGGGAAGAGCAGGCTTGGCCATGTGAACTTGTCTAGAACTTCGATTTGGTTAATTAGAAGCTTTGTACGGCTCAAAAGAATCACTACCAGCAGTATAATATTAAGGGCATGTTGAGTTCCAAAACAAAATTTTTTACGCTGTCACATCGAATATTTGGACACATATATGAAATATTAAATGTAGAAAGAAAACCAATTACACAATTCGCCAGGAAATTGCGAGACGAATCTTTTAAGCCTAATTGTGCTATAATTTGACAATGTTGTGCTATAGTAAACATTTGCTAATGACGAATTAATTAGGTTTAATAAATTCGTCTCATAGTTTCTTGACAGAATCTGTAATTTGTTTTGTCATTAGACTACGTTTAATAATATAAATATGTATCTATATATCCGATGTGACATACGTGGACAAAATTTTTTGCCAACTAAACAGGCCCTAAGCAAACAATATTACAGACAAAAAGCACAAAAGATAGATAAAGTAATCAACTGCTTGTTTTAATTAATCATTTTTCTCCACTAAGTTGTTTTAATTAATCATTTTCCTCCACTAAGTCCCATCACATGCATGAGCTCGAATTCTGAATAAGAAAACAATGTCTCCAGAAACAATGTTGATTTTCTACAGTACTGTTTAGTGCAGTAGCAGGGACTGATGTATGGATCCGGACTCACATATCAGCCTATCAATAGTACTGCTGCAGATGATCTGCATCCCTCCAGAAAATGCTACTCTTGTACCCTTGCAAACAGTAGCACACACAGCAAGAAACTGTTATCTGCCCGCTTCTTTACAGCTCATTGTTTGGTTTTTGTTTATCAGTCAAACTAAAATTTAGATTTTAATTCCTACTTTATCGATAGAAACGACGCACTATCGAAACGACGCACTATCTAAAAATAGATTTTAAACTCAATTAAATATTGATTTTTATTTTTTATGATAGTTTATTTTTCAGCTATAAATATAAAAAAGTTTTATTTGTATTTTTTTACTTCGTTTATTTTTGTGCTGTTGTTTTCTGACGAAAATTAACGGGCAATGTGTCTGCTGCTCCCTCCCTGCGTCGCAGACTCGCAGTGCAGAGAGGCGAGAGCTGGACCAGCGGCAGCGCGGCGCATCAGCACTGCTGCCAAATCGGTGCGGCTGTGTGCGTATCCCTGAAAATTCAGTGCATTAGTAGGGGCTGAAAATTAGGTGACATTTATTATTATTATTTATTTATTTAGAGAATAATAATTTTTACCCGGTCTCTACATCTAATCGGATATAAACAACCTTTTTAAATTGAGAATTTAGCCCCTCGTAAAACCCAATCTGAAAATTAGGTGACATTGTGGTGTTTAGTAGCACAACCGCATATACTACCAGCTGCACACGTACGGATAATCAGTGGAAAACAAAGAGCAATCTGAGAGCAATTCATCTGTGTCGCGGGAGCAGCAGCAATGATGCTAGTAACCGTATAGTTTAGGGCCCATTTTGACCAAAGGATATTTGGAGAAACTTTAAAGGATTCTAATTCTAAGATAATTTTTCCTATGTGGAATGACCTAAATTATAGGAATTTTGGAAAAAAAAATCTACCATAGCTTAGGGCCTCTTTGATTTGTAGAAAAATTATAGGATCTTGAAGGATTTCAATCATATATGAAAATTTACTATGAAGACCTTTGAAATAAAAAAATGAACCATATCCTATTATTGAAAATTCCTATGTAATGGACAATCCTATAAAGAATTTGAAGAAAATTTTGCAAGAGCTTCAACTTTTTGAAAATTTTCTTTTGAGTCTATCTCTCTCATCCAATTCATGTGTTTTTAAATGGTATTTCCTGTATTTTTTCTACGTTTTGCAATCCTCTATTTTGTATTTCTATTTCTATTATAATTGAGTTTTTTATATTCTTTCGTTTTTTTTCATTTCTATGATTTAAAGGGTCCTCAAAACTCTTAGAAAAATTCCTTGTGTTATTCCCTCTTCAAATTCCTATACTAATTTCCTGTGAAACATCCAAACAACAAGATTGAGTAATTCCCGTGTTTTGACATTCTAATTCCTATATTCTTTTATTCTTGTATTTTTAAATCTTGCATACCAAAGGAGCCATTAGTCTAAATTCTTAGGCCTTGTTTGCAACAAAAGAAAAACAAGAGAGAAGGATTTAAGGATTTGAAAAAACATGAACCATGAAAATTCCTTTGAAAATCATATGAAATGAATCATTTCTTTAGGATTGGACGATATTTTAGGATTTTCAAAGAATTCAAATCCTTAGAATTTCTGTAGTGTCCTTTGGAATGAAGGAATGCAACTTTAAAAATCTTATAGACCTGGTTTTCTATATTCCATGTTTTATCTTTGAGAAGTTTATTCTCACCTCGTGGATTTCTTTTAACGTGTCTTTAATTCCTATAATTTTGTCGTGTTATGCAAACGACTACTATTTTATGCAGGAATTTTATAAGGCATGAGATTTTTATCCCCGTGTTTCAAAATCCTATGTTTTAAAGGAACCGGTAAGATTAGCAACGTAAATTTTGATCATAGGAAGTATAAGTACTGCCTCTGTCCCAAAAGAGTACAGTTTTGCATTGTTTATGTGCAATGTTTGATTGTTCGTCTTATTTGAGAAAAAAATATTATTGGTATTTTTATTGTTATTAGATAATAAAATATAAATTGTACTATATGTGACTATTTTTAATTAATTTTTTAAATAAAACAAACGATCAAACATTGGACATTAAAATCCATAACTGCACTTAAAATAAAATAAAATGAGATGTAGTAGTAAAGAATACCCTCCAATATCCTACCGAGATCACAATGTTCTTTTCTCATTTCGGTTCCGTTCGTTTGGGCTATTAGGGAATAACTAATTACTATCTCCGTCCCAAAATAAACACAGCCATGAGTTTCTATGCTAAACTTTGATCATCCGTCTTATTTAAAATTTTTTTATGATTAGTATTTTTATTGGTATTAGATTATAAAACATGAATAGTATTTTATGCGTGATTATTTTTTTTAGTTTTTTCAAAAAAAAAAAAATAAACAAGACGAACGATTAAAGTTGGACACAGAAACTTATGGCTGCACTTATTTTGGGATGGAGGGAGTAAGTTTTAATTAGTATAAACTTTAAAATTAATTATATTTGATATTTTAAAGCAACTATCACATATAATTTTTTTTGCACTTAAAAAGCGTGAGAACGGAAAAGGGATATTTTCGTCACATGTCAACCTCAAAACCCGAAGACACTGCTGACACACACAGGTACAGATAGAGAGAACTTGCAGTCTTTCAGATAAGGCTACACTGCCACTCGACCAATTCTTGCAAGAATTGGCCATGGCGTTCTGCACTCCTACTGCCACCACTCCTCCTCATGCCACTCCACCTCCTCTCACCACCTCATGGAAGCAGCTCGCCTTCTGCAACTCTTCCCGGCTAGCCGCCGCCGCCGCCGGCGGCGGCCAGAGGGCGCGGCCGGCCGGTGCAAGTGTTGAGGCGCGCGCATTGGCGCCGGCGTCGACGGCGGCAGACGCGGCGGCGGCTGCGGCGGCACCCGCCCCTCCCAACGTGGACTACCTGGCGGCGGAGTTCGCCGGCCACGGCGTCAGCTTCGAGGCCGTCGGCGGCAGCTGCGCCGTCAAGATGGAGCTGCGCAACGGCAGCGCCGCGCACGTGCTGCTCCCGGGCGGCCTCGTCACGTCCTACAAGCCGGCCATGTGGCACGGCGCCCCCACCGAGGTGATCCACACCACCGTCGCCGAGGGCCTCGGCGGCCGCGCCGTCATCCGCGGCGGCGTGTCGCTGGACCTCCGCTGCGGCGGCGCCGCCGGCGGAGGCGGTGACGGGATGCCGCCGTGGTCGCCGAGCGGCGCATGGTCGCTCCGCGACGTCAGGGGGAGCCCCACGGGCTCCATCGAGGTCGAGCTGGCCTCCGCCGCGCCGCCGGAGGCGAGCGGCGTCGAGGCGAGGTGCGTCGTGACGCTGCACCCGGAGGCGCTGGCGACGGAGTTCACGGCGAGGAACGCCGCCTCGCCGTCGCCGGTGGCTCTGTCCGCCGCGGTGTCCACCCACCTCCGCGTGAGCACGCCGGACGCCACCTACGCCGTGGGGCTCCAGGGCTCCGACTACCGCGCCATAGATCCCGTGCTCTCGGAGTTCGCCATCGTGCCCCCGGACTTCATGTCGCGGTCGTCGTCGGCGACGACGCTCGCGCGGCGCTGGGCCACCAAGGGGTTCGACGCGGTCCTCTCCGGCGGCGGCGGCGGCGGCGCGGGGGCGCAAGAGGCCGACGGCGAGGAGGACGACGACTACAAGCGGATGACCGAGGAGATGTGCCGCATCTACAGCCACGCCCCCCGCCAATTCACCATCATCGACAGGGTACGTACGTAAAACCAAAACCAAAATGGTGTTCGCAAAATGAGGATGAAAATTAAGGACAGATAAAACGAGAAAATTATCAGTGATTAATTGAATTTTGTTTATTATAAATTTGAAAAATAAATTTAGTTAATATTTTAAAGCAACTTTTATATAAGAAAGTTTTGCATGAAACGTATCATTTAGCGGTTTAAGAAATGTGTTAAGGAATACTGAGGTAGAAAGAAAATAATATTACTAAAAAAACACAAAAAATTCACACACGACAGCTCAATTTTCGTAATAAAAGTGAAATAAATTTCTCAAATTCGATCTGAACTTTTGATCAAATTCGTTTGATGGTGCAGGGGAGGAGGAACTCCATTTGCGTGCAGCGGAGAGGGTTCGAGGAGGTGTACGTGTTCAGCCCGGGGTCAAAGTACCAGTGGTACGGGAAGTACGCCTACGTGTGCGTGGGGCCCGCCATGCTGGAGCCCATCGTGCTGTCACCTGGGGCCACATGGTCAGGGGCTCAGTACCTGCGCAACCCAAACCTCTAGATAGACAAGACAAGACAGGCTAGCTGGCGACTCAATGCTGCTGGGGAACAAAACAATGGTCATTGTACATGTTGGCTCACAATAAGCAAGAAAAACATGTGAAACAATATATATATGTTTGCAAATGTGTTTCACTGATTACTGTGGTGTTCTACTTATGCAAGATGCGATGCTCAAAAGAGCAGAATCATGTGAGATCAGTGGAGATGAAGCTTCACCAACTATGGAAATGGATACTTGGTAGCCAACATTTGGGAGACTACAGCAGCTGCACTGAGCAGTAAAGCATTTCACCACTATAAGAACAACTGTCTCACAGGGAGAGATTTTTGAACAAGTTTATATATATAGTCTTACTGTTGCCCCTTGCATATACATGGACAAACTAAAGTAAACCTGGTGAACCAACAACCTTAACCCACTGTTAACTGTCAAGTAATGCGCACCCTACAATTCCAAAGTTGTCACCATTTTGCATCCTACCAACTTTGGACCAACTCATTACTGAGGATTCCCTCATGCATCTTCTGAAACCGCTCCGAGCGCCGAACTAACACATGAGCAGTGGAGCCACTGTCCTGCTTCGCACTGTTGAGCCAACATATAATAGTTAGGAACTTAGGATAGAAAGGCCACTTCGTAAATACAAAATCTGAATCTATCCGATCAATATAACATGAGCTGGCACATCAAACATGATCATGTGATGATTAATTACAATTTAATTGGCTTCCCGTTGTGATCCCACAGTTGGATTGATATGTTTTTTCCTGCACAAAGTTAATCAAACAGTTTTTGTTTGGCAATGGAAGTATTTAAAGATGGGGCATTATGTGTTGACTGCAATGTGCTACATGCGACCTAGTTAACAATTATGTGATGTATGACTAGCAAGTTTCTCTAGACAAGTTCATTTTTGTTGTACCTATAGCTTTGCCTTTTCTAAGTCTTTTTCTCCCCCTAACTTACCCCATTCTTTTCACTACAGAGGCCGACATTCCAATTTGGAATTCTGATACTGCTAGTGCACTATATATTTGTAAAAGGAAAAATCTGAAAAGCAAATCTTTGGACTTGAATGAAGGATTGAGTCATATGACGTAAATTCTCCTTTACACCTCTACACTGTTCTACAACAATGAATATTCATTTGGAAGATGGAATGAATTCAAGAGCTTCTATAAGGCAAATTAGGATTTGTAGAAAGCAAAAGCGGCAAGTAGTATGCTTCTTACCAACTTTGGAGAACCTCTCATTAAAGATTCCTGCATGTTGGGCAAAACCATTTCCCCTTGAATCTCGTTTCTGGTGTCAGACCAACACAAGTGTAATGGAACCATTCACCTCCTTCGCACTGTTGAGAAACATTAAACAGCTAACACTTAGCATAGGTTGATGCCTTTCGTAGAACAAACCCATAATTCATTAAGAACAAAACAACTTGTATTGACAAGTTCTAGAACATCTGCCAATTGCAACAAGTTCAAGGATATATAAGCAAGAGGCGTCCCAATATTTATAATCTAAATGACAAGAGTAAAGCAGCGATAGGAGTGAGCAAGAAAATTAAAAGGCCGAGAAACCGAACCACACGGCCCATATTTTGCTAATATGGCCGGCTAAATCACCAAGACAGGCTTCGGTGATCTGGTATTCTGTCGGCCTCGAGGCTTTGCAGACCGAAGCGGCGTAATAACCTAAGACTAACATGCAATCAACTTTCTAAGCTACTGACGTCGTGAATTTTGCACCTACCATGCATGGCTCGATCCTTCGAGGATTTTATTCACAATCAACCAAGAATTCTGTGCTGCAGTATACATGGTAATAATATATATATACACACCCGTGGATCCTAATGATTATGTGGTGTGTGGATTCGCAATGCAGCCCAACATCTGACGTCTTCCCACATTGGCTGACTGCCCATGGCTACAGCCCAACATTCGCTGCAAAGTTGGCATTTTATTTTTACATGATGGACAATGTGTAATTACTATCAGTTTGTTCTAGTAGAGCTGAATAAATTGACCGAACTGACCAAAGTATTATTCAGTTAATCAGGTTCTGTTTCTATTTTTTATTCCGCTAATTCAGTTTTCCAGATTGTTCAACAGAAATATATAATTCATTCGGTGTAAAAAATATTATAACTGACCAAATCAGCCAAACGATCACCCCTAAGCAGTGAGGCATGTCCTCATTCTGGATGGCAGCAAGTAAGAACAAATGGTAAAAGGAAATTACAAGCATAAGATAAGATGATCACCGCCACCCTAGCAGTCTAGCCACAACATCATGGATCCAATGCTATATTGCTTGAAATAATAATTAAAATCACAACAAAAATCACACTTCAGAATGTTCTAAAGCTTCTCTAAAACTACCTGATAAAAGTGAAAGTAGTAACTTAGAACATAGGAATTAAACTCCTCCAAAAGAAAACTATCATTACTTAGCACCATAAAGACTTACGTTATCATTGTCACAAGCAATCATATCACCATATGAAATCTGAAATATCAATAAGAAGCAGAGGCACCTTTCAGAAAACATCTTAGAAAAAGTTTGATGTAGACTAATTTCCAGGAAAATCGCTATACATTCCAAGCTGACCTGGTGGCATATACAGTATGTTGGTTCATTTGGATCAATTGTTTGATCCACATCCATAGGTGCAGTTGTTTTCTTGTTGCTACCTGGAGGGGGCATTAAGTCGAAGTCCATACCCCTTTCCCTGTCCCATTCCCTCTCTCTGAACTTCTTTGTTGCTTGAGGTGTACTGAAACCAGGCCTCCGTTTGTCATCCCTGCTAAATGCTGAAATTGCAGGAAGGATTGATGGTTCATCTGGAGGTATCTTTCCTTCTGCAAATGAGATCAGCTCATTAATATAACAATATTCTGCTCAATAGGATGACCTTTCTAAGATACAAGTAAATGCTAGGGATAATTGTGATTCAGACCCTATTCTGAAGGCTAACTACCAACTTGCCCCCCCCCCCCCTTCCTTTCCAATTTTGCTCATTTGACCCCACTTTTCAAAAACGAACCTGCCGTCTGACCCTCTTCTAACCACACCATTAGGAGTGTTATTAGAAAATGCATTTAGAGAATGAACAAGACCAAAATGCCCTTGGAAAAATAAACAAGACCACAGTATCGGCCTTTCCCGTTTCAGCCTCAAATCTAGGTCAAATTTGTTAAACTAAGTCAAATATGTCAAACCTGTGTCAATTTTGTCTCATATTTTAGTCAAAAATTGCCATCACATTTTTATAGGGATAAGGTAAAAAAAATTGGATCAAATAAACGAAGATTTTGAGAAATTAGGGTCAAATGAGCAAGGATATAAATGGTATTTTTCCCTGAGTTAACCCCGTTAGGTTGTCTTCATGAAACAGGTTCATGCCTGATCTTCATTTTTGAAAAAAGAGGGTCAAATGAGCAAACTTGAAAAAAACAGGGTCAAAAACACAATTGCTCCTAAATGCTACTATCTCTTGATTATACCTTGCTTCAAGTCTTCTGCAAACTGGCCTAAGTCTTCATCCAGACGTTTGATATGACTCTCTATCTGTACAATAATCCATCCATGGTACTTACAGTTAGGTATTAACAAAATATTATAGGATATAAATGACACAAATTGGAACAAATATCAAAAATGGATTTTGTTTCGTTAGTCTGGGTCCCTGAATGGGACACAGTGAGTTGATAATGTAATTGAGATTCTAGAATTAGGACATGCAATTTAGTATATGATTCTAGCATTGATGTAATTTAGTGTCAGGCATCCGAACATTCAATTTAGTATATGGGCAGTATGAGACATAACACAGTATGACAGACATCAGGCTTTTCATTAAATCTCATGAGATAATCTCAAGATGCCAGATACTATTAGTGGTTTGTAATTGTAACAAAACAGAGTTTTTAGACTGCAAACATTAGTCTTCCTGTGTGATACTTCTAAGTTCGTAACTATTCATTATGGAATCTGGAGTTGAACTTGACAAACGCAAACTGTCAAAATAAGTTTGGACTTTAATATAGAACGATCAAGTTTGTTTAGGTGTATCAATTAAAGGGTATCTAAGATCTCGTCTAAAAGAAAAGCGGGCAACTAAGATGGCACTTAACATGAAATGAAATGTACAAGTTCCTTGAGTTACGGGACTAGAAAAAAATGAAGGGTGCATGCAGAACCAGGTCATAAGCTTGGCGTGCAAGCAACACTTTCTCGGTGCAGAGACTCAACGCATTGTCCTGACTAGCTTCGATGTCCTTTTTCATTCTCTCTGAGGCAGATTCATCATCATCCATGTTTGACCTGTCGAACCCATGGGATGGCACTCCGAGTAGATACTTTATCTGTTCTTTGGTCTGTCCCATAATGCCTGCATCAACAGAAACATAATCCGTACAACTACAAACTTGAGAAAACTATCAATATCACATAAATTTAATCTATAAGTGGGCACTAGCCCTATACAAAACAATCACATGACATTATAGCCTTGTATCAACTATTAAAAATTACTACATATCAGAAGTACCCAAAATGATTATTTTTTAAATTTTTTTTTGGATAATCTGTATTTTAGAAAAATGAAAAAGGAGTGTAAAAAAGATCATCACCATGAGCCCTCTCGTCGAGCTCGCGCATGGTGGAGAGAATCCTCTGCAGGTCGCCGGCCAGCGTGCTCGAATCTGCGACAAGAAATGGAGCCAATAAACAGAAGCAAATCGAAGGCAACCGCAAAAAAAAATTCGACGGCCTCTGACACGGGAGCTAGCAATCTCACACTCGAGGTAGTCGTCGACGTACACGCCGGTGCGGGCGATCGCCATGGCGGTCGATTAGAGGACGGATCCGGCGGCGTCCCTGGCTCAATCCTTCGATTTGGGGTCGATTTGAGGACCAATCCGGCGGCTCCCGATCCTTCGATTTGGGGATTAGGGTTTCGGGGAGGACGGCGGCTAGCAAAAAAACATTTTTTTTCAGAGAAATCCACTGGGCTAGTGGGCTTGTCTGGTTCTGTGGGCTCTGAACCGTCGGGTGGAGGCCTCATGGGCCTTTCCTGTTCCCTGATCTGTATGATATTTTTCACCAGATCTTGATAAATTAGGTCGAATTTTACTATTTCAAATTTGAATTCTTGAAAACCATTCAAGTTTTACGTGGAATCTACTTCCATCCCAAGTAAAACTTCAGAACCTCAAAATTTGACGGTTTTCAACCCTAGGTAATATAGAGTTGGTGGGTTTGGACTATAAACGTGAATCTATTGGTGGGTGGCGGAAGAGATGATGCGAAGTTAGCGAGGGACGACGGTGGCTCGGAAGTCAGAACTCAGAACCATAGATGATGAGGATGCTTTCAGATAACCTTGAGTATTCTTTTATGAAAGATATTATAGACTATTGATTTTGACACAAGCACACAATCATCCCTATGAATATGCACACACACTTTACATCTATCTTTGTTTCGTAAGAACACCTTTAAAAATTGAGCCAGTATATATTGAAATTGATGAAGTTATTAAGGTGCTTCAACATCGACAATACAATAATGTCTCCAAGTGTTTTAAGCATCCTTGAACGTGATGTGGGCGTGTGCATGATAACACGTGGGTCCATATTTAGCTAATACTTCCTCCGTTTTACGATGTAAGTCATTTTAGCATTTTGCACATTCATATTGATGTTAATGAATCTAGATAGATATATATGTCTAGATTCATTAACATCAATATAAATATAGGAAATGCAAGCATACAACCAAAATCAAGAAGTGAATGCAAGCATACAACCAATGAGTATTTAGATGACTCTTTGGGTTCTAATAAAACATTTAATTTATCTCTTCATTTAAGTCGAAAAAAATATAAAGACTATAAATAGGAACAACTTTTTTGGAAAAAACTCAAATCTATTTATAGGTGTAACTTTTGTGGATGGAGGGAGTATCATAATATTATGAATCTGGACAGATAGTCTGTCCAGATTTACAGTACTAGGATGTGTTACATCCGTCCAAATCCCTTATATTATGAGATGGAGAGAGTACATCACTAGTTATAGTACTCCCTCCATCTCAAAATGTAAAAAAGTTTTGGTTGGATGTGGCATATCTTAATACTATAAATTTGGGCATATGGTCTGTCTAGATTTATATTACTAAAACATGTCTCATCCAACCCATCCAATCTAAACTAATACAACCAAAACTCATTATATTTGGGACAGAAGAGTATTTGTCAAGATATTTTTAAAAAATATTTAATCTACTTTTATGAATATAAGTAGATAATTCGTGACGACAATCCGATATATAATGTGTTTTCAAATAGTCTAGTCGATCCTTTCTACTCAACTAGTCATCAATTATTATAGTAGTTTAACAGTTTACTAAAATAATTATTAGGTGGATCCTTTTGGTTCTTAAAAAGTTAACCGGAAGATTATCGTATTTTATAGCGTAAAAATCATGGTACTTATAGAGTACCGTGAAACCACTCTTACATTGAACGAACAAACACAAGTTACAACGACGACGACGAATTTTAGCATGTAGCTAGCGCAACTATTGGATGCATCGCATCGGCAGTTCGGCACCGCACACGAACACGGAAAGGATATACTTCATCCGTTTCACAATGTAAGTCATTTTAACATTTTCCATATTTATATTGATATTAACATCAATATAAATATGGGAAATGTTAGAATGACTTATATTGTAAAACGGAGAAAGTAGCGAGGATACATGGTCCTAGCTGATTCGTCTTATTCAAAAAAATTTGGAATTATTATTTATTTTGTTTGTCATTTGCTTTATTATCAAAAGTACTTTACATATGACTTATCTTTTTTTATATTTGCACTAATTTTTCAAATAAAACGAATGGTCAAACGTTACAAATAAAAAGTTAAAAACGTCACCTATTAGTATATCAAAACCGAAGTAACCATTCCAAAAGGACAGAGAACAAACAGGTGCTCATAAGGTGACCAGAACATTCAGACAAATACTGTTTATAACTGTCACGCACAACTCTCCCAAGCTGAAGGTAAGAGCACAACGTGTACCAGGATAATGCAATTCATAGCCAGAAAATCTACTTCAAAATATTTCAAATATAACAACCTAGCTAGCATGACATATTCTAATATTATAAATCTTACGTTTAAATTTTTAGTACATGATATATCTTTTTTATTTTAGGTTGTTATATTTTAGAACGGAGAAATCATTTATTTTGGCGCGCAGGCCAGGGTAGCTAGATAGTGCCGCCGTTGCAGCGGATGACCTGGGCGTTGATCCAGCCGCCGGCGTCGCTGGCGAGGAAGCCGACGAGCGGCGCGATGTCGTCGGGCATGCCGAGGCGGCCCAGCGGCGCCTCGGCGATGTACCGCGCCATGTCCTCCTCTGTCTTGCCGGTGTACATCATCGGCGTGCCCGTGGACCCGGGCGCCACTGCGTTCGCCGTGATCCCCGTGCCGCGCAGCTCGCGCGCCAGGATCTTGGTCATCACCTCCACCGCCGCCTTGCTCGCCGCGTACGCCGCGTACCCCGGCCGGAGCGACCCGACGCCCGACGACGAGAACGTCACGATGCGCCCCCGGCCGCCGCGCGCCAGCCGGTTCGCGGCCTCGCGGCAGCACAGGAAGGTGCCGCGCGCGTTCACGCCGAACATGGCGTCGTACGCTGCCTCGCTCGTCTCCGCCAGCGCCGGGTACGCGAAGTCCAGCACGGCCGCCGTCGTCACCAGGATGTGGATCTCGCCGCCGAACGCCGCCGCCGCCGCGTCGAACAGCGCCCTCACCCGCGCCGCGTCCGACACGTCCGCCTCCACCGCGATGGCCCGCGGCCCGCGCTTCTCTTCCTCCTCCGCGCGCAAGTAGCCGTCGTTGATGCCGCTCACCAGCTCGTTCGCCGGCGCGGGGTCCCCGATGTAGGCGACCGCGACGCGCGCGCCGAGGGACGCCAGGTGCCTCGACACGGCCGACCCGATGCCGCCGGCGCCGCCGGTGACAATTGCCACGCGGCCGTGCAGCATCAGCGGCGCCATCACGCCGGCCATGGCGTTGGTGTTCGACGACGCCTCCATCCAGTCCAGTCCAGTGTGTGGCGTTCTCTAGCTAGCTAGGAGAGCAGCACACTACACTGTCAGTGTGTATAGCTCACACACTGATAGTTGATTTGATTTGACGTATATATAGGCACCGGATTTACTATAAATAGACTTTCACGGCGAACTATATATGTGAAAGAATCTCACCGACTCGATGGCCTTTTCTCGATTGAGATTGGAGATCTACTACAGCACTACAGACAGGAGTGGCCGAGTGGGTAGATCCGCACAAGTAGTGTAGACTGTGCACTTGTGCAGCATGTATGCTGTGTGGTCCAGCCAGAACTTTGATCGCTAGCTCTTGATTATATTTGGAAAGGACTGTTTGTTGTCTATTTTTTTAATCACATGAAAATGCCATCAAAATTTAGTTACTTTTGGATTTTTGGAATCGTGTGGCCCTTCACAGTGTTCCTACGTGGAGCATGGCCACGGCTCACCACGTAGGATAGCATGCTATCGTGGCGGTGAGAGACCATTACTTCGTGGGTAACACAAGACTAACTTGAGAGCCGAGAGCCTCAGCTGAAAAAGCTAAGAAAAACAAGGAATCTTACTGCGAGGCTGCAACAATCCCCACCATCCCCACCTCCCCATCCTTGGAGGAGAAGAGAGGGGAGCCGGCAATGGACGACGAGGAGGACGCCAATCCACTACCGAGCTCCATTACTGCTGTCGCCGTCGCCCTCCGAGCCCTCAAGCCCCATCTCCTCGTCGTCGGCTGGGAGGGGAGGGGCCCCAGCGAGCTGACTACCGCTGAGGCGCGGGAAAGGAGAGAGTTGGCTATGGTGGAGCTCAAGTTGCCAGCCACTGTCGCTGACCTTTGGCTAGATCCAGGCGGCGCCGTCGAGCTCTAGGCCGAATCCCGCTCCTCCTCAACGCTTGAGAGGAGAGAGGCGATGATGGTGGCAGCCGAGCGCACACGCCGCTGTTGTCGAGGTCGTCGTCCTTTGAGGAGGGGCTTCGTCTCCTCATCGCGGGCCGGGAGAGGAGGGGCACTGGCATGCGCCGCAGAGCTTGTCGTCGTCCTCTCCCTCCCCCCCCTCCCGACCGAGCTCGTCACGTCGCCTTCCACTTGGTGGCTCCGCCACCGCCGTGTCCCTAGCCTCCTAATTGGTTGCTGCCACCGTGAGGAGAGAGGAGGGGCACCATGGAGCTGTCGTCCTCCCCCCCCAACCCCCGCTACTCGGTGGCTTCACCACCACCTCGGCCTACTCAATCCGCCGCCGCGTTCCCAGCCTCTTTGGACGTCGCCGCTGCGAGGAGAGAGGAGGGGCACCATGGAGCTATATATCGCCGGCCTCTAGTGGATCATGGTGGGTGGAGTAGGGGAGCCGTCAGTTGGTGCTCGTTTGCCACTGGCTGCCATCGGTGGATTGAGGAGAGTAGAGGGGAGAGATTTTATATTTGCTTCTGGAAATTAGGGTGTGTGTAGGGATGGCAATCGGGTGTGACGGGCACAGGTAGTGCCTACCCATACCCATGCCCGTGAGATTATTTGTGCCCGTGGGTATACCCATTACTACATGACGGGTAAGGATGGTTGCCCATGCCCATTGCCCGCGGGCGCCTTATGCCCGCGGGCGTGCCCGTTTACCCGCCACAACAAAAGCAGTGGAACAAAAAGTCTACAAGCTACTAACTTCGAATCGAACTTAAAACATCAAATATTCTCCACCTCGGTGTCGTGTCTCTCCTCTGGCGGCGATAGAGTAAGAGGAGAGAAATAATAAGGGAAATAAAAGGGAAACCGTAGAAAACAAAGAACGTGGCTTATGTATTCTAGTGGATTTTACTCCTAGCCTACATGTAAGTTAGATTTCGCGGGTAAACGGGCAAAGCGGGCATGGGTAGTGATTACCCATACCCATGCCCATTTACCCATCGGGCATAGCTTTTGAACCAATAAGATACCCATGGGTATAAAATGGAGAACAAACCCAACCCTAATAGGGTTTTTACCCGCGGGTAAACGGGCAAACGGGCACAATTGCCATCCCTAGGTGTGTGCGTGCTAAATTTTTGACTTTATGTAAATTGAAAACACATTAGGACTAAAATACAAGATGGCAAGGGTTGACATGAAAAATTGAAAACACTCCAAGAGCAACTCTGCATTGTGGGAGAGGAGGTGTGATCTCGGCCTACATGGCACATGAGGTCCATTATTTTGAGTAGCTCGCACTGGTATTGCACTAAGATCTATACAATTACAGTATCACCCTCAACTTGTTTTTTCTCTCCTCCTCCCAAAAGCCCAATAACAGTTAGGTGACTCGGCCCTATTGTGCTTTTCATTTTCGACAGTTCCCCCGTCATCGGGAAGTCATCACTATCCTCACCTCTTAACAATTAGGATCTAGCACATCTTTTTCCTACTACCGACATTGTCCAGCACCCTCCTCTATAGTCGTGGTTTCGTCACCACCTCACCTCCCGTGTTCATTGGCCACACCCTTTCCACCTCTCCCAAACCCCTCTCCCACCTTGACCCCAAACCCATAAACCTAAACTCTACGTTCTCTATCGGAGTTCCAACACACCATCGTCATAGCTGGAAAGTCATCGCTACCACCACTTGGAAGTTCATGCCACTATCGCTATTGCTAGTGAATTACCCTCCTGCTTGTCTTTCCAAATTCAGTGCTAGGTTAAAAGGTGATTGCAGTTCCTATCTTAAACCTAGCAATCCTTTATTTGGAAATATGGAAGGTATGTGACTGAAAATATTCTCATACTAAATGACTTTGAGGTTGCTCAAGGTTATTTATCTTTCTGTTCCACATGGGTCTTGTTTAGCTAGTGGTGGAACCATCGGTTGGTAGCTTGAGGTTCTTTCCTATGTTTGGAGAGGTACGTATATACCTTCGCACTGCATTTGAGATGTAAATAAATTAAACTAATTATTTTGATTAATAAACAAGTTTATGATAAGCAATGACAAGACTTTTCTAATTGTTGAGGTATGAGAGTTATATATATACCTTATAGTGTGTACGTTAGTCCAGAGGTATCTCTACCTCTAGATATACCACTAAAAATATATCTTAATTGGCACAAATATTTATACGCCTCAAAATGTAAGATAAATTAAAAAATAATTAGTTCTCAATCCTATTCTAATATATTAGATTAGTTTTGGTATCTTTTTTTTTAGAAAAAATATTTCTCAAGTATAAAGAGGTATACAGGAGTACACCTCTATAAGAATGGGAGATAATATCTCACAAATGCTTTCTAACCTGGACATGTCCTCCCTGCAGCTCTGAGAACATTTTCCAGACTCCAATACGAATACTGAAAAGGATACTCTCACTTATTCTCCTCTAACTTTGAGTCACTGATGTATGGGTCCGTTGGGTAGAGGGTCCACGTGTCAGTGACCCACGTCAGTGGGAAATAATTGAGTTAGAGAATCTCAATCTACTGCTATAGTGTGTACTGTTGTCCATTAAATTTATTAAGTTAGAGAATCTCAATCTGCTGCTATATGTGTACTGTTGTCCATTAAATTTATTGCATTTCATGCAAACCAGCCTGTCATAGGCGGTTCCCCATCTAACACTGAAGTTACGATGCAATATCTTGCATTAGCACCTCCACATTTATATATACACACTATCTTTATTTAAATTTTTATCTTAAAATATAGTTATTCTTCACATACCTCCTCATCTCGATTAACCGTAACCCTCCTCTCTATAATTTTATCTATTTTTAAATTTATGTGCAAAACCTCAAACGTACATATTTTAAGATGTAGTGAGTAATTAACAGTCTCACACAATTATGTGTTCAACATACATTGGACATTATGAACCTTTTTTTTTTCTATTCGTTTCCTTCCGATGGTGAAATCGGCACGCGTGATATTCAATACTCCTATTTGCCTTGTTTATTGGCAGGTTTATCTTTTGTGCAACAGTGAATTGATACCTGCTTCTCATCTAGGCAGTGTAGAGCCTCTCCTTGACGAAGGTTAGAGCTTTGCATGTGAAGGGGCCGCGTCATAGCTAGGATTTGAAGGTCCTGTTCGAAATACATAGTGAGGTCTTAAAATTTGACAGTCAAATCCCCACGTTCTTGTTATCATGATTGACAAGATATAACTTTTAGAACGGGAAAAAACGAACAAATGGTCAATCACAATGATTCATAGAACATAATAATATCTAGTTCAGTAGATTTAACTTTATGTATTAGGCATGCATGTTGTGTTATTTTACTTTTCGTTCTAAGCCTTAATTCTGACCTTACGGGTTTTATGGGCTTTATCATTCTAGTTATACTGCTAATTATATTACTACTAATTATAAGTATACTTAGCACTTCACGTAATTATTAAGATTTGGGAGGCCTGAACAATCGAACATGTCATGTTCCGACGGATTCCGAGTTCTGCATCTGCCACTCTGCGTGTGCCTGAACTGTTCTTTGTTTTTATGGGGAATCGATGTCTGAACTGTTTTTAGCCATGAAAAATCTTGCCGGATCTATATATGAACTTGTAATCTGTGGAACGATGTCAGTCGATTGAGATCACATGCAGGTGAACCCGATCAGGACAATGATCAGGTCAGGTGTCAGTAGAACTCGTCAGAAACGAGAAGAGTTTGGCACTGCAATATCCATACATGATACATGTGCACAGCAGACTCTGTAAATAACTCTAGCTATTTGTATTGCTTATTCCCTGTGATTGTAACTGGAATTGTAATTCCATTTGTAAGTTCAGAAGTCGGTGTACAAATGAAAATTAATAAATTTAAAAATAAATATAGTCCATGTGTGTTAAGAGGAAGGAGTTTTAATATGCTCAATTCCCTTTCCTTTGTCAACCTGACTGTGTTCGGCATTGCCTGTCGTTTTCCATGCGCATGCTTTTCAAACTGCTAAACGGTGTGTTTTTTTTTCATAAAGCATATATATAAAAGTTGCTTAAAAAATTATATTGATCCATTTTGGAAAAAAGCTAATACTTAATTAATCACGCGCTAATGGACTGCTCTATTTCCACGTGCACTATTCCACGATTGGGAACCTCCAGCAGCTAACAGAGCCACAATCAGGTCCTGATTCTGCTGAGATTTTGATTCTCATGGAGAAAAAGGCTATACAGGACGTCTCTATGGCATCCTCGATGTATAAATGATCAAGTGAGTAATGGATCTGTTCGTTAGCTGGACACTACAGCCGGCTGCGGCAATAGCTGCACTGCCTCAACAGTACAAGCAGTGCAATTTCTACTGCTATATTGTAGCTGCTGCAGCTGAACAGCCGCAGCAAATCTCTACCAAACAGGCCCAATAAGAGCATGTACAATACTAGATTATAAGCCAGCTATAAACACATACGAGGAGATAATACATAAAAGAGAATGGCAGCGGGCTACATATTTATAGCCAGTTGCAGTACTGACTACAAGACATAATATGTGTATAACAGGTGGAACCATATATTAATAGTGTAATATATATTTATAGATAACTATTGTATGAATTGGCTATTAAATTAACTATAGATGATTTGGAGCTAATAGTTGACTATACTATTAAAAAACTTGCTCTAAGATGAAACCCACGAAACTAGGTTATAGTTATTCCTAACTCCTACTCCCTCCGTCGAAAAAAAGATAAATTTATGTCCAGATTAATTGTACTAGAAAATGTCACCTCCAATACTAAGTTACCTTTTTTGGGACGGAGGGAGTACAATGTGTAGATAGTAGTAAGCTAGGGCCCACGTCTAAAACATTGGTTGGTTGAAAAAGGGAGAGTAGAGAGTTAAGTGTTTTTTATTGCTTCTTACCAGGTACTAGTAATGCTCTTGCCGGATGGAATTACTACATCCTCTGGTACCCACCTCCACAATAGTAAAAAAATTTCCACATACCTCTGAAAAGTTTCGCAATCTTTTCTATACCTCTGAATTTTGTCTCATCCCCTATATACCTTTAACTTTTCATTTTAATCTCCTCTATCCCTATTATGTTAGTTGCCTGTTAATTTTCTTTTTTCTAAAATGACCCTATCGTCCATTTCCCATTCTTACAGTTATATGCTATCTACTCTACTTTATAATTCACCAATGTGAAAAATTGTAATTCATGATAAAATCAAATGGGACATAATTATTTATTGAATAGAAAATTTAAACTGTTGAACAAATTTATTTTTTTTGGACAAAATCCATAGAAGAGTTTTAGCAAGAAATTGTGAACCAAAATTATTTATTTGTTGGGTTCAAATTTTGATGATATCATAAAAGTTAATTTAATTTTTTTTATTTTTAAAATTTGTTGTCAAATAATTATATTCCCTTTGTTTATTTACAAATAGATTTTTTCCATATAAGAATTGTGCTTTTATCATTAAACTAACACAGGTATAAGAGAGGGGTTATATAGTTAATTTCAAAAACATTTAACGATTACATAGAGAAGATCAAAATGAAAACTCGAGAGTATATAAGGGAATAGGCAAAATTCAGAGCATCTCTCTCAAGGATATATAGAGGATTTTCTCCAATTGTAAAGTAGGTAGTAAGACCTCTTCTCATGCACATCGTGGATGCCTAAAATGCACGAGATGATTGATGCCATTTTGGCACATTGACACTTGAAAGCAGATAGTACACAACACAAGGGAGGACCAACCAAAACCAGAGTTCTTGTCTTATTACCTTCTCCAGTGCTGCAAAACTCGGAAAACTACCTTACTGTTGTTCAGATTTATCGAAATTTGGATGCTTCGCTAACAATAACAATAGATGAAAAGGCTAAAAAAAACAAAAAGGATAAGGGTTACATAAAACCCGATGTCATAAGAGTAATATATGAGACCTAACGACGCAAAAAACCAGTCACACGAGCTAAAATCAAAGTAAGAACTGACCCACTCCCCAGGCACCAAGCCTATAGAAAGTCTGTTACGAAATTTAGTTGCCAAGTCCCAACCCAAGTAGCTATCGCTCAGCCACGCCGCGAACCTTCAGAATTTGCACAATCTGACTGCTCGGCTGTGGCAATTAACGCAGAAAATATATCGCGCTAATTGCCATTTGTTACACTGCTTTCAACTGCAGATTTTGAGGCGTTCAGCATTTCGCCGACAATAGGGGTGCCCTCCTTGCTCAATGCCTGCTTCTGAGCTGTGGATTTCCCATCAATTGCATTCTTCTCCTTTTCATGTGAAGCATTGTCAAGAGAGCCCTGTACAAAGTGCATAAAAACAGAGGCATCAGAACCTATCACCACCAATAGCTCTGAGTGGTGCTAACATTCTGAACAGGTTTTTTAACCACACAAGGCTCTATGTGTGAATAGAATGCTTGCCTGTCCTTGAAGCAGTTGCTGCTTAGCTCTCTTCTCCTGCATCAGCTTTTGCCGGTTCTCGTAAAAACCAAAATCATCCAAGATTGATGTCTTGCTGATGTGGTCCTTGAAAATCTTGAGCATTTCAAGACCTTGCTCAAGCTTAACCTGAAGCATTACATCTACTTGGTAAGTAACGCACATGGAGCATACTGAAAGGATCATCACATTGTCATGCCATATCAATAGATAAAAATAAAATTCATCAGCTTCTTATACATGAAGGTCCACTCATGACCATAAGCATGATGAAGAAATTGATATATATCATGTCTTAAGTTCTCATTTACTGAACGACTAATCTGGTTCCACAGCAAGAAATTTGAATTATCTCAAGAAAATGACGATGAAATTAACTATCTAAAATAACAGAGACATTAATAGTACCCTTAATGGCCCGTGGCCTGCAATTGACCATTGTACAATCAACAGAACTTGGCAAGTTATTGAGAAAGGATACCTCTTGTGTGTCACGGCTGTTTGTCACAGGCTTATTGTCGTTGTTATCCAATGTAATGTGCTTCAAGATGTTGTTGGGTACATCCTTGACAACATGCCACTTGATTGGAAAACACCCATTCCACTTGTCTTGTTGCCAATAATCCACTGTCTTCTCAAAATCAACAGGACCAACCATTTCAGCAACACCAACAAACTGGCCACTTGTGTTTACCTATATTCCATGCCCAATGTCAATAAAGAGTGATATGAGGGACAAATGGATCACATAATGTGGTAATAATAATACTTACAGAGAAGAACAAGAAGACTGGGCATTCACTGGATTTCTCCTGCGCTTCACGGTATCCAGCATCCAGCTTCTTGTTTCCATTAGGAGTGCTTGCCCACACATTGTATTTTATACTTTTGTGCACATCATCCTCACTGTAAGATTTGATAACAAAGAACTTTGCATCTTTGTATGTTACTGGAAAACCTTCCTGGTTGAATTGGCCCTTATCTGGAATGGCACTATTCTCCTGTTTCCCGACTGAGGGGAGGGCTTGGCCCTTCACAGCAATAGTGACAGAAGGTCCAAACTGTTTTTGGTGCTTGAATCCTCCAGATCTTGGTCCTCTGTTAAGCTCAGTGAAGCCATCTTGGTTCTCACTGCCAAAACCAAAAGATGCACGACCTCTAGGCTTGTACTTGCTATCAACAATTCCCCACCGTCCATTATTTCTGGAGTTGTACATATTTGATCCGAAACCAAGCCCAGTTTTAAGTGCGTTCCCATACTGACCATACTGCCCATATAATCTGTTGTCTGGGTACATCCTGGTATGATAACTAGGAGATGTCAAACCCATTCCCGACGAAGGTATCTGTGCATGCATACCCTGAAACAAATGGATATTTTAGGCTAATACTTGTACTTTGTGAGAGCCACATAATGCATCACTATCATTTTTGCTATGTGCAACTTAAGGGGAAGGCAGTAATCGCAGAATCTAATACTAGGTAAATGCATTTAATAAGCAGAAAAAAAAATAATTGTGAGACAATCATACTGCTTTGAGAAGCTATGGAAAAAGAAGAAGAGTGGGGGAAGGAGGGGGGCAATGGAGAATTGGACAGTCCTAGAACATACCATGAGGTTTGCAGTTGGGCGCTGGCTCTGATTTTTTGCTGAATACGAGTTAGAACCATAAGATGTGGAATTAGTATTTGATCTCTGATGCCCATTAGAGTAGACTGGCCCATCATACCACTGAACTGGAGAATGAAGACCACTGTGACCATAATTGTTAGCAGATGGTCCACCTTGCAAAGTCCCTCCTCCATATGAACCATTGTTTAATACTGATACATTTTGATGGGTTTGCTTACGTGCTAATGAACTACTGTTAGTATTTGCCATCCCATTAGCAGTCCCATTGGCACTAGCTTTTGCTGATTCAACCGGAACACGTGCCTGGTGAGCAGCAACAGAGGGCATCTCAGACTGAGAATTGACAGCATTGACGCCATGGCTTGCATTGGTTGGAGCTGGTTGCTGATAATATTGACCAGGGTACTGGTAATGCTGTGCGCCGTATGACTGGCCATCATGCCCAACAGTTGGGACAGGAGAACCAGAAGGATATGGGCCATAGGGAGCATAGCCATATCCATACATGTCACCATAAACACTCTGCTGGATCATTGTAACAGAATCGAGTTAATTTATCTCCAACACATAGCATGAGTAGACAAGCAATTCATTAAATTCCAAATTAACAACATATGTCCCCCACGGTTTCTATCTCCATATTTGGTCCTTAGCCTCCTCTAGGCACAGGTGAACTCGTGATATCACATTACACCTTAAAATACCTATCGCAAAGTGATGAACTAACTATAAATAACTGCATTAACTTACAGGAGGCATCTCCGTTCCATCATGGGCAGCATATCTGGAGTCCCATTCATTGGCTGAGCCGTCATAACCTATATACACGAACGCACAAACATTAAAATCAGCACTTAATTAGACTACCTGATTATCCAGCAAAGTACTAGGTGTTTGTACCAGTAGGATAGTAATATGCTGAGGGTCCATATCCATTGGTCTGATACAAGATGTTGGCATTCACGGCCTCCTGGAGCAGGGGAGTGATCGACCTGTCCACCGGCGACGCCGCATTCTGCGCATCGCCGGCGCTTGCAGATCCATAGGGCATCCCGGCAGGCTGCAATTCACAAAAAGGACCATAATTTTTAGCTACCTCTCCTCCAAACAAACAAAAAGGATGGCACAAGCAACACATCACAGACAAGAATCGCCAGCAAAAGCTACCTTCTTGGTAGCGTCAGGGGTGGCGCCTTCCTTCTTGCTCTCCAACGACAGCTTCTGCATCATGTCAGTAGCCTCTGTAGCTTGCGAATCAAGGAAGAAACACTTCGATTCAAAAGCGAGCAACTAAACAATAATACAGCCATAGGATTCGAACACGAGAAAAAGAAAAAAAAAGGCTGTTTAAATTATCACCCCAGAAAAAAAAAGAAGTTCAAATCTTTACGAAGAACTGCCGCACAAACCGCAACCCCCCGCTGCTAAAACAGATTAAACACATCAAAGAAAACAAAAATAAAAAGGATACGGTCGCCAGCGCCAGGAGCAACGGCCGCCATGGTTCCTCCTCCTCCTCCTCCCTCCGTCCCAGTTCGATCTAAACCCGCCTTCTTTCCCTCCTCGCGGATTGGATCCCAAGAAGGCGAAAATTCCAGGAGGTACGGGGGGCAAAGAAGGCAGGGGTGGAATATAGATGGTAAAAAAAATTCTTGTGGTAGGTAGAGGCGATAGGTGGTGGTGGATAAACCCTAGGAGAGGGGGAGGAGGAGGGAGAGGGACACGAAGATAGCCGCCACAGACGCGAGGGGGGAGGGGAGAAGAGGAGGAGACGGGGGGAGGGGTAGCCAAAGAAGGGGGGTTTTAGGCGATTCAGAGGCGGTGATTCAAATACCTGTCCCGGCACATCCCCACCGCTCGTTTATCTTCCCCACCTCTGCTCCGGGCACCCACCCAAAAGTGTTTCATTACTCTCCCAACTCTACTTGTCTCATGTATTAATGATTAACTTAGGATGTGTTTGGATCCAAAGTTTGGATCTAAACTTCAGTCTTTTTCCATCACATCAACCTGTCATACACACACAACTTTTCAGTCACATCATCTCCAATTTCAACCAATAAACACAGCCTTATTTTATAGTCTATACTCCCTCCGTTTCATAATATAAGTCATTCTAGCATTTACCACATTCATATTCATGTTCTATCTAGATTCATTAACATGAATATGAATGTGGGAAATGCTAGAATGATTTAGGTGGTGTTTGAATCTCCTAAAGATGAAAATGAAGATGAAGATTAAGTATTTCACGTAAAATGAGGTGGTAATAACGTGTGATTAATTAATTTTTAATTATTACAAACTTGAAAAATGAATTAATCTAATATTTTAGAGCAACTTTCATATAGAAAGTTTTCGCACAAAACGCACTATTTAGCAGTTTGAAAAACGTGCCACGAGTATCTATTTTATCCTCAGATTGCATGAGAAACGAACAGGGGGCTTACATTGTGAAACGGAGGGAGTAGAACGGAAGGAGTATAATATATGTTGTTATTACGACATAATGGTCATGTTTAGATTCCAACTTTTTTCTTCAAACTTCCTACTTTTCCGTCACATCGAACTTTCCTACATACACAAACTTCCAATTTTTCCGTCACATTATTCCAATTTCTTCAAACTTCCAATTTTAGCGTTGAACTAAACACAGCCAATGTTTGAGGCAAAAATGTAGTACTAGTTGATTTACTGGTCAGAAGTGTCATGTATAAATGACAACTGGTGGTAGTAAGGATTTTCTATTATTGGTGGTAGTAGTTCTTAGGGAGATATCTGGGCATGTGTTGAAAGTATTGATAGATGTAATAGGTTATGGAAGGGCGTAAATTAATTGATTAAATGTTAGGAAGTTGATATGTCAATTTTTAAAGAGTTTTTATAAGGTGGAATGAGGAAGAAAGTTTGTGTAAAAACAAAATTGTTTACAAAATTGAGAAATGCGTCCGTGATAATCTATAGTCATTATTTTTGCAGTGTACTAGGATGGAAGAAGACGTAACGGAGTTTTGGTAAGTTTGTGGCATGCCATACACATCCAATAAATGTGTTTTTTTATACTAGGAATATTACAGCCTTAGGTGGCTCACAATTTTTAGGGAAATCCTATCCCAATATATCTACTTGTCATAATAAAAGTTAAAGATAGTTGTAGTTAGGCATTGAGGGAATAAATTTAACAGTGGCTAGTGGAGCAAACTAAATCATCCAGGGCTAATAAATCATCCATAATCATACTATTCTTGCAATTTCAGTTCAGGTATTTCCAAACATCCCAGTTTTGTAGTGTGTTTTAATTACAAAGTGGGAGTGGCTGTGTGGCCATAGCATTGCCCCCTATTAAATTACTTCCACAAAAAGCAAGAGAAACCCTAGCTTCCATTGGGCCAGCCCATGACCCAATCAGGCCCATACTGCTATGCTATGCTGCTCGTTCAACTGCCATACTCATAAAGGTCCAATTTTTGTTCATATCTGGAAGATGTTTGTTGCTTGACGAAAAATCTCAGTTGTTTTTGTCTTCTTATCATCCATCAATTCACGGCCACGTATATTGCCCCGAACTCCAATTCAACATGAATATTCAGAGAATCGACAAGGTTCTTTTTTTCTTTTTTCTTCTTGTTACAAAAGACTGTTCAAACACCATAACAAAGGCAAACCTTTATTTTTTTTCTTCTTTTTATTAGAGAAGGCAAACTCTGTTGGACGATGTCATAAGCATCCATACTATACTGTATAATCGATTTTTGACTGACATGTAGGATAGAAATCGTAATAATAGAATATGACCAGAATTGAAATGCCTAGTAGAGAAATGAAGAAAGAACATAATAATAATTTTCCTGAGCAATTCAAATTCTTAAAGAGAAAAAAAAGAAAAACTCTTTTGTGCCATCGTGGACCAGAGTAAATTCCAAGAAAAATATGAAAAGAGGTAATCTCAGTAAATTCCAGAAATATTCAAATAAGAGGCATTCCAGAGTAAATTCCAAAATGATATTATAAAAGAATAAAGAAGTGGACCTGAACTTTGTTTCCTTTGTTTCCATGTGCTCATGCGTTAGTACTATTTATTTTAAAATATAACAAACTATCTAAGAGCAGGTACAATAGCAGACTAATATAAAATAAGATAGAGGAGAGTAACATGCTATATATTTGTAGCCAACTGCAATACAAACTTTTTAAAATACATGTGTATATGACATATGGGACCAGCTATGACTTGTGTAGTACTCCGTTTATAGGTAACTATTGTATGAATCGGATATAGATGATTTGGAGCCAGTAGTTGGTTATGTAAGTTATCTCTACTATTATAAAAATTGAAGATGTTTTTGGCGGTATTTTGATACATCATCCGTGTATGATGAGGCTTTTAAGTTCGTTTGCTTTTGGAGATACATATATGTATTTGAGTTAGTTTTTAAGATCGTTTACTTTTGTCAATACATAAGGAATCATATAAGAAATCTGTTTAAAAAACTTATGTGCTAACTTGAGATGATCGGACTCCTAACTACAGCTCATGATTTTTTAAAAAATATATATATCCAAACAAACTCTTAGAGTGAATTTCATCTTAATTAAACTATATAACAATAATAAAATTAAAATAGACTTCACCTTTTGTAAAATACAAATATGTGTAAGTTAATAGTATAATTTAGGACGAAATTGGTAGGAGATGCATTTGTTGTAGCAGCTGCGTGCCTGCCGCTCTGGCTTCGCTTCAGAGGATAAGAACGGGCGGTCGTCAGTGAGGTCGGCCTGGAATGAATGAACAAGAGAGGACGGCGACGGGGGAGCGTTGTTGGTTCAGCGTGTTCTCGCGGCTTCCCCCCCTTCAAATATCTCTCCTTTTTCTTTTTCTTCTCTCTTTTCTCGCGCATGCGGCCAGCGCCACGCCGCCTACGACGTGTGCTTGCCGTGGTTGGTTGTGGCTGGGCCTGGGTTGGCCTCGGCGCCGACCGAAGCATCCGGCGGCAGCTGCACCGCCCATGAGCTTCTCGACCCCTCCTCCTCCGGTTGTGATGTGAATGATTTTTTGAGTCCACATGTGATTGGACTCTGTCGTGTGCGCCAGAGGAATTGCTTTTTGTAATGAACTCTGAACTGAACAGTTCAACTCTGAAATACTACGCTGTTAGTTGGTAATAGTAAAAATTGTGTCCCAAACATGAAAAGTTTTATGGTTCCTCAACATATCTAAATTTTATATTGAAAAGTTAGATACATATATAAAAATATTAAGTTTTATATTAGACAATATGGTATCTTTCATTATATTTTTTTAAGGATGAAAAAATTACCTTCTAAACATATATTAGAGGCAATCATACCAGAAATGCACCACTCTACCAGTACATATTTGGTTGGGGGAAATATACATATATATAAATATACTCTCGTTTGTACAAATTTACACGAAAAATACATCTTGTCAAACAATCAGAGTAAATGAAGAATGGTAAGAATTGACACACTCTCACAATCACACACACAGAAACAATCATATCAGAAATTTTACATCAGGTTTAGCTGAAAATATACATATATTTACTTTCGCTTGTACACTTTTACATTAAAAATACAACCTTTCCTCTTTCAAACAATCAGAACAAATGAAAAGAATGGTAAAAAAATCTTCTATATTTTTCTTTCTTGTAAAATCTCCCACCTGAAATTGCCAACAAAAAAAAGGCAAGCCTGCACTCCCATAAAAAAAAGGGAAATCACCACCGAGGAACTTCACAAAATAGCGGAACCTGTTTAATTATGTTTTCAACTTTGCATTAACAAACAATGCCATCAGTCTGTGTGGCGTGGTGCTGCAGTAGAAAGTGGAACTGAGAGTTCTGCCTGAGCAGTGGTGTTGGTTCCACGTCAGATAGGTCTATGTCAAGCATCAGTCGTGCTATATCATCCAACGATATAGGTATGCTGCAATTTGATTCAGTTTGGGTGTTAGATCAATGGCTACTGTTTCTCCCATTTTAGGTTCATATCTTAATAGCAGTACTGAGCAGCCAATCATATTCATACCTTGAGTCGTCATCTAACAAGAACGAACTATTTGGAGTAGTTATTGAGTCATCAGTGGCCATTGTTCTCATCTTTCCAATGACCTGAAACCACGTTGGTGTGTTTCACATCATATGAAGATTTTATTTTTATTTCTTTACTTTTTTTGCGTGGAAGTAGTCATTGTAGTTGAAAAGGGAAATATGCCTAAGTATTGAGAAGTTTGCAACTTACCTCCTGAGATAGACCTTGTGCACCGTATTTATCATCCCAGAACATTGTTCCAATGCGATATATTTGAGTGATGCTCAAAACCTGGGAAAGTGGCACTACGTTTCATACTATACGCTTTTGCAGAAATTCAAGTATTTACAAGTTAGTCATATTCAGGACTTACTGGGCAAAGCTCATCAGTGATTTCCTCCAAGGTTTTATGTGTCTTCTGATGCAAAACCTGCACGCGAATTCACATGATGCTAACCAAACATCTATATAATTTGAAAATAATTGGTTTCAACTTTCAAGCATACCAGAAATCCAACTGCCTGTCTGATGTGCTGAAATTCATCCCAAGACGTTCCTGCATACTGCATTATCACAACGCATTTGGTCAAATACTTCCTTGCCTTTTACTCATTTGTCACCAAACAAAATTATACACAATTTTCACTTCACCTCTTCAGTTGTTACAGAGCACCACTGCTCTAATTCTTGTAAACCAGCCTTTAAGAATTCCCCATTGCTAAAGGAGCAGC